AAACGGATCCAGTGGGGCGTGTTGGATAAATATTGTTTAAGACAATTTCTTAATAGTTGTTTTAACAAGGTGTGAAATGACAATATTGACTATGACTAAAGAGTCCACACACATTCGTTGCATGTGATCGAGCCTAAGTAGGACATGTGATGGCTATTGCTCATTGATGCTGTCAATGATATTAATAAAAACAACTTACAAAATTAATTTTAAACTGAGTCATTCAAGTAAATAAAATAAAATAAACACTGAAATCAGCAGATCAAACAATGCAGGTCTGAGTAAACCATATCCACCTGTCCAACAGGATCTACTTTGTAAACATTTCAAAACCCCTTTGTTAATGTCCTGTATGTATATATCTCTGCTTTTTTATAACGATATGGACCTATGGGTCTGAAATAAATTATAAAGTAAAGTAAAAAGGATTACGACTGCATTTGGACTGTGGTTCAGTTGGTAGAGTCGGTCGTCTCTCAACTGGAAGGTCTGGGGTTCGATCCCCAGCTCCTGCAGCCACTTGTCCGATGTGTCCTTGGTAGTAGTGAACAAGGTGAAACGTAGTCTTCTGGGCCCTTTGTGTCGCTTAATACAGGAAGAGAACATAAAGCGTTGTTCTTTGTTTAACAGATGATCAGTAAAAAAAGAGGCTCCCCCGACGTGCATGAGCTGACCCTGTCAAAAGAAGACTTTCAGAATAAAGAAAAGAATAAAGAAGATGTCTTCAGCACGTTCATCACACACAGAAGGGTAAGCTGGCAAAGTAAACGCACATTTGTGATTTATAAAAAATGTCAATCGAGGTTTGTGGCGTTCCCCTGTGTAAACATCTCTGTGTAAACATCCCCCCCCCTCCTGCAGCCTGGTGACTTTTCACATGTGACAAAAAATGACGAGCGCTTCCTCAAGGCGCTCATCCGTGAGGAAAAGACGAGGGAAAGCTTCACAGCTGTGATTATCACAGAAGTCCAACCTGAGCACATAGACTTCATGAAGGATAAATTTAAAGTATTGACCAGACAGCTAGCGTGAGTTCAAACACCTTCACCTCATCACACTCAAACGTTTCATCAGGTCCCATGGTGTGTTCTTTGAATGTTGTCATATTAAAAAAAAAAAGATTGATCTGTTTTTCAGTCATATTTATCACTATTACATCCACGGACTCAACGGAAACTCCATGAGAAGCAGCTCTTCAAACCAGGATAATTCTCCAATGGTGGACATTCAGGTGTGTCCCGTTATACTAAATATTCCAAACTAAATGAAGCTGTCATCACGTCTTTGCACATTCATATTGATTCTGTGACGCCGTAATTTTGGTGTCCAAGTCTGTGAGTTCACATAGACACACACACACACACACACACACACACAGTCAGACATGCTGTAACCTTCTCGCCTCTGTAACACCGTTGCTATCTCCACGCATGTGTGTGTCTCTGCATCCTGCTCATGATGAACTGCAGACGTTCCCAGATCAAATAATCATAACTCTTTTTTAAATCAGGTCACTCTGCGGGAAAAGCCCCCCAGATTACCCAGAGTGATGAACCTTAAGGAGGTGGAGGACGACATGCAGAGTCTGTACATAAATAGTGCAACAGACACGTTTGAGTTCAGGGCCTCCACTCAAGACAACAGTGGCAAAGTGGAGGGAATCATTCGATATCATCCCTTCCTCTACGACCGGGAAACCTACCCTCAAGACCCCGATGCTGATGAAGGTAAACAAGCTGTGAAACGCTACATATTACTGAGTGACATGTGATGGCTTTGGAAGTTAACTGAGGGTTTTATCGTTGTTTCCATCCGTTGATCAGACTCCGAGGATAACGAGGTCAGCAATGACGACGAGTCTGGAGTTGTGCACCAGACAAGACGGAAAAGGTCGATATTTGACTTTTTCTGGAATGGACGACTCATACCAAAAAATGGATACTTTCAGTAAATATCTCAACTACTTTCTTACTTTTGATTGTGTTTTGAAAGATTGTAAATGACTGTATTTCTTGGTTGTAAAAGTCGCTTGATACGTGGTGGGGAACACTCTCATCTGCTATGTGCTGTGTGTCAGATGTGAAAACTGATGCAACTCCAGTGTCAGTATGCACAAAATAACGCTACAGCCAGCAGTGCTCAGTTACTATGCTTGAAGACAGAAGGAGCCCAAAAGTGGAGCAAAGAACTGGTTGAGAGATAGTTGCCTGAGGTTACCTGAAGCTGGTGTTGTTAAAGTTACACATTTTTAAAAAATTTTCAAATTAGGTAAAGGAGGTTATTTAGTGGGGTTTAGAAGTGCTAGTAGACATACTGATGACTCGGCAATGCAGAGCGAGAGAAATGAAGTAGCTGAAGTAGCTCCGTTCAAATTCGCAGGTTGGCAAATGCTGACATTTTTCAATTTTTTTTTCTTATGCCCTAACACAGTGGTTCTCCACTGTTCTGGCCTCAGGACCCACCAACTACTCTTTTATGAAAACTCGAGACCCAAATTTCATATATTCTTCAATCAATCAGTTTTATCTAATGAAAAATTGTGCAATTTGAAACTCAGACAATACAAAGCGTGATGAAAAGAAGAAACTGAATGAAACAAACTTGTTTTTAAAAAAGCGCATTTTTCTTCCATGCACACTTTCGCGACCCACTTTTGGGTCCCGACCCACCAGTTGAGAACCACTGCTCTAACAGATGTGCCGTCTATCCGTTGCAGGTTTGATTGGTGCACTCCCAAGGGAAGTAAGCCGCCAGCCGAGTGTTACAATCGGTTTTCAGGGGCGCTTTTCACCAACGACGCCTTCAAGGTCACCACAAACAAGATGTCCTTCGTGGACCTGGAGCTGACTCTGAAAAACAAGAATATTATCTTCACCCGTGTTGAAAATGGAAAGGTAGTCATATACAAACATTCTTTTTCCTTTTCTCTCAGGATCTCTGATGATTAGAACATGCAGTCACACATTCACAAGGTTTCTTCTGCGCATCCCTATTGGCTGTTCTCACCTTTTTTAAAGAACATGAAGAGTTTCATCATGGTAAAAAAGAAAGTTACCTCCTCCATTATCATCGAACCTGCCTCACCATAACAAATATTTTTGGTTGGACACTTGATCGTCTGTAGTTAACCCTTTCAGTGATTTATTGTGAGTGGAGTATTGCAACAGTCTCCTCTACGGATCACCATCAAATACACTCAAGAAACTTGAATACGTCCAGAACTCCGCTGCTCGTCTCCTCACACACTCCCGCACCAGAGACCACATCACCCCCATTCTTTATAACCTCCACTGGCTCCCCATCCCCCAGCGTATCAACTTCAAACTCCTCACACACACACACACACACACACACACACACACACACACACACACACACACACACACACACACACACACACACTCTTCCTTCAAGAAATCCCTAAAACTCACCTCTTCATCACTGCCTACAACCACTAACTCCCCCCCTTACATTACTTCCTCGTTGTACTGTCCTCGTCGTTTTTGTTTTGTTTTTTGGTTGTTTTATTTCCTTGTCAAAGCGTCTTTGAATATTTCGAAAAGCGCTCTGTAAAACCAAGTTGTTATTATTATTATTACTACCACTATAGGTATCCTTTAGGGCCTGAAGGAATACCCTGCCTTGGTGTGAATTTTACTGTCAATGAAGCCTCAGTTTACAAACCGAACATCATGTTTATTGAAGAGGACTTGGTGTCTAGTGATTGTGATCTTTAACTAGGAAATGTTGACTGAAGCTCATTATTAACCACTACCTTTTTTGATTATTATGTCCACAGAATCGCAGAAAAGTCGACATTCGAAAGGACTTTACAGATTGGCTTCAGACCTGTCACGACAAGCACGACAAACAAATCAAGTTTGTTGACTACCAGGGGACCATAAAAAGAGAAGACTTGCCAAAGAAGATGCAGGATTCCTGGGAGATATTTTCCTCCATCGAATGGGACGGGAGAATCTACAAGACAGGCCAACTTGTGAGTCTGTGTTCCTTATTTTTCTGTGTAAAAAATGTATATATCATGATTATTCTGGGTTTTTGTATTGATGCCTTTATACTTCCTCATACAGGTGAAGTCTCTGAAAACAGGGTCCAATCTGTATGGTACCATACTTCGTTTTTTGCGGCACGGTAATACAGAAAAAAAGAATGGAAGCGTCTTTGCTACAGGAGGACAGGTTGAACTGGTTCTGGTAAGGAAGAAATAATTAAACAAGATTCACTGACTGGAGGTTTGTCTTGCAGGTGAATCCTTTTATATTTTCTTTACCCACCTGTTTCTACGTTTTATGACATAATGATACATGTGATAATGCCTAATTAATAATCTTTTGAGGGGTAAAAAAAGGTAAATCAAAAGTACCTTTTGGACAGAATTTGTAACTTTTCACCCAAAGAATTTGTTCTTAAAGGATTAATATGTAACTGACTCCTAGTGTTTAAAATGGGTACTGCAGTCCAAATTCTAAAACTTGGAGAGAGCTGTCTCCCCTCCCCCCCCCTCCTCTCTAGAGTCATTGCTCACACAGGTTGCCATGTGGTGGACACTGAAGCTTCAGTGTTTAGCCAGCTCTGCATCGGTCTGTAAACCTTTCTGTGTTCTAACCTCTAACCAAAACGGCTGTGTGGGGGAGCCTTAAAACCGCCTACCTTCTCTGGTCCAAACAAATCCAGAGCATTCAGGACCAGAATCTAAAGTTAGAAGGAGGACATTCTGGCTGCTGCATTGTTGTCAGAGAAGCTCTTCAACATAGCATGTTTCCTTAATGTCTGATCATATAGTAAGCTCACTTTATCATTTAATCCAATAGATATCTTACATATTGAACCTTTAAGCATAGCTTTATAATATCACTCACTTAACTGTAAGTAAGGTAGAGCTCTCATTAAAGGAGACATGATCTAAAATCACCTTTCTTTCACATGTCAATGTAGAAACATGTATATACCATGTAAATGAAGTTAACCACATTTGTTAAATCATGATTAAAGAAATAGTGATTGTGTCTTACAACTTTTAAAGTGTACACTTTGATGTAAACCTTGCCTGTTACTAGTAGTAGTAGTAGTAGTAGTTTAGTATGTTTTCTTCAGTATATGTATTATGAGAATGACTTAAACCTGTTTCCCAGGAACCAAAAGCACTTCACGATAAGAACAAGATCATCCCTATTTCCAAGATAGACAAGACAGCCACCGAAGAAGCCATCTTGAAACACATTGAAAGTGACTCTGCCAAGTGAGTTAGCTTTGAAAGAAAGTGCTCTCTTACTGCAAGCTTATAGTTTGGACTTAACAATCCATTTCAAATCTCCCAGTTTTCTGATGTGATTCAGTAGTTTTTACCTTGACTCCTTGTCTTGTACATTGTAGTTTAATCCGTATAAGAATGACCAGTTGTAGTAAATGGCATGTGTATGTTCCAGGCTTCCAGATAAACTCAGAGTGGAGTGGCCTGAAGGTAATCCCTGGAAGCAGAATACAGGGTACCCAGCAGGGACCCAGTTAGGTAAAAAGCTGCATCATTTGATGCATACGGATGTTTGGTGGGCAAACATTTGATAAAATGTTCTTCTCTAAAGGAGCAAGAACGGCAAACTTTATGTTTCTTTTTACTTGTCCACCGTTCTAGGACCACTCAAAGTTGAAATTCTCGACAAGAACGAAGTGCCGATGGCCAGGATGCCAAAAGGGGAACAAGGACTTGGAAAAAACCTGGTTATCCAGCTCAAAATAGTCTGCGAAGGTAAGATTCAAGAAACACACTTCTGTGAGGCCTTAAAGGAGCAATATGTAAGTCTGACACCTACTGTTTGAAATGGGTACTGCAGTCTAAATTCTAAACATTGTAGAGAGCTGTCTCCCCCCGCCCCCTCATCTCTAGAGTCGATGCTCACGCAGGTTTCCATGTGGTGGACACTGAAGCTTCAGTGTTTAGCCAGCTCTGCATCAGTCTGTAAACCTTTCTACGTTCTATCCTCTCTCAATCACTTCTATCTGAACCAGTTCTCTTGCCCACTTCCATCGCTGCAACACCTGTTGGTTTGATTACTGGGTCTGCTAGTTTGACTTTTCCTTTATGTCTGATCATAAAGTAAGGTCACTTCATCATTTCATTCAGAAGTTATCTTACAGAGTGCTCCTTTAAAGTCTTTAATTGTCCTCATACTAACTATGCTTCCAGCTCTGCTTTGTTCTCGTGCTTTTATTTGTTGTTTAGCTTCTTGAAATGTAGTTTTTTTTAACAGTGTTTGTTGTTGTAAACTCTCTTTGCCTCTGCAGACAGTGACAATGACATGACTTTCGTTGCCCCTCATGCAACAAAATGGGCTTTCTGGTTCAAGAAAAATGGTACTTGTATTTTTATTTGTCAACTTAATTATTCATGATTATACTTCAAATGCCCCGATTTCTGCCAGCAAATTAGCAAAAATCTTTTCTTTTGCAGAGTGTCTGACTGAGCTGGGGAAGTATACTCTGACTCTGTCCTCTATGATACAGGAGAGCCGTATGACGGTTATCGGAGACAAAGAGCTTCCAAGCTACAAACTCAGTTTCAGTATCACAGGTCGAGAACACCACAGAAATATTCTCTTGATATTGATCATGTGTTTTCAGTGCTCCAATCATAAACTTGTCCGTTCTGATGTTTATCTTTCTCAGAGGGAATTGCTCAGAAATTTGTCATCGGTGCATCAATGAGTCCCACCATTCATATAGGAGTGCCGTTCGACATTCCTCTACAGATAAAAGACGCTTATGACCACTCAACTCCTCCCCCTCCTGATCTCAAACCTGTTCTCACTTGCAGGTCAGTCACACAAACGTTTACTGTTGTTTCAAAACATTTCATATGTATAAGTAGATATGGATCTTTGTGAAGCGAACACATGAATAAAAGTAACATCAGTCTCTCTGTTATTCACTCCATTAACATCATTATCGTTTATTATTGTTCAGTGAGCTGGAACTGAGTTTTGAAAAAACAGACACCCGAGGGTCCACGTTCACCATCAAAGGTGTCAGAGCCAGAGGAAAAGTTCGAGATTACCAACAGATAAAGGTTCGTACGTTCAGGAGACATTAGGTCGGGGGTTTGATCCCCAACTCCTGCAGCCTTCTTCTTGGGCAAGACACTTAACCCCAAGATCCTCCTGCTGCTTTGTCGGCGACGTATAAATGTGTATGAATGGGATTAGTTCCTTCTGATTGACACTTTACATTACAGCCTCTGCCTCTGTAGGTGTGACCTGCGATGTTTGAGTAGTCAGAGGACTAAAAAGCGCTATAAAAAGCCCATTTTACCAAAGAGATAACGCCTGGTTTCCCTTTGATTTTATGTCCATCTTCTTATGTTGCAGACATATGACCTCAACGTGACCCTGCCTGGCCTGAAAGAAGACACACTGATGATCAAGATCAGTCCTCTTCCCGGTAAGATTGCGCTTTATATAAATGTAGAAAAATTGGTAAGCACGAATGGTGCACTACATACTTTCCCATCATTGACCTTGATTGATTTAATGCTTTAAATAGTTGTAATTTGAGACATGAAAAGAACTTCAATGGTCAACTGGAAAGCAACAGTGGAAAACATTGATTAATGGATACCAGGAGCTTTTTGAGCTAAATGCTAAACGTTTAAGACAACTGTTGTTTTGCCTAGCGATGCATTTTAGTTGTTGGTGCTATCTCAGTTAAATACAGTGTATCTTGCAGAGACAGTATTGTGAAGGTCGACCCTGACTTTTACAAATAAATCCTTTAGTGTGGACAGACAGGCAGCAGAAGCAGCCTTAAGAGACATAACAGCAAGAGACAAACAAGAACCACACCAATGACTTGTTCCATCATTTATGGATAAGTAACCGTCCTAAAAGACTGAATAGTTTATCAGCTGCTTGATTTTGCGTTTCAGGCAATCCGCATTCTCTCCATGTGAAACCAGAAGATGAGCCGATCACAGTAGAGAACGGACACACCGTCAAGTTTAATGTAGAAGTTCACGATGAGGCAGGAAACATCACTGCTTCCCCAAAACAGATTGTTCGATGTAAGGTAAGTGTGTTTCTCTGCTGTGAAGTCATCAGTTGTGTTGGACTTGTTGACCTGTGAAATCTGTCTACTGCTCAGACAAACCCATAGGGAGGCAGACATGCTGAGAATATACTTCAGCAGTAGTCGAACTGATGTAGTTCAACAAGTTGATGCCCATCCCTTAAGATTTTATTGTACATTTGCACATCAGTTCGTCCTGTTTACCAGATAAAGGGAACCACCCAGGGACGACCTTCAAATCAAATCTTCAATTAAAGCCTTCTTAGTCATCATCCACATTGTGATGATCTGCTGGTTTGGCAACCTCAGCATTGTCTTGAATGATCTTGGTCATATTTTTCAAGTAAGAGCCACTCAGAAGACAAAGGCCATCCTGGAAGACCCTCAGCACCCTCTGCATGCAGAATTTGGGATGTTGGGAACTGGAGGGTCCCCAGTTCAAGTCCCATTGTTGCCAAACCTGGAAATTGGTCTGGTAGTAGCTCTGCTGAGGTGCCGCTGGCTGGTGCCAAATGAACTCACTTTACGCACAAGTACAAACGACAGGCAACAGGATTCTAATCGTCTGATTGCATTATTTAAGAGTCGCCAGTGTTTTTAAGAAAAAAGGATTTCATCAGAATTCCACTTTGTACCTTTAAGGAAGTACGCTTATCTTTCTAGGCCCACCAAATACACCTCGTCAGCCTTTACATCCAGTCGTATACTGTGTGAGATTATTTGTAAATAATTAACCTTTGTTGACTAATCCTCATCTGTGTGTGTGTGTGTGTGTGTGTGTGTGTGTGTGTGTGTGTGTGTGTGTGTGTGTGTGTGTGTGTGTGTGTGTGTGTGTGCGTGTGCGTGTGTGTGTGCGTGTGTGTGTGTGTGTGTGCGTGTGTGTCAGGTTGATGGGCTTCCATTTAAGGCAACAGACTGCAGCACAGGAGTTGGGCAGCTTGAGACTGAGCCCATAAACCTGAAAATAATCCATGGAGAACCACAGATGCTCAAGGCTGAGTTTGTGATGCCTGTAAGTGAAGCAACAAGGACAGAGAAAAACTCTCCTTCCTTCCTTCCTTCCTTCCTTCCTTCCTTCCTGTTTTCACTTCAGGTAGTAGAAATCTTTTCTCTGCTGCACATCTTGTTGGATAATTACTTTGTGCAAACTGAGAGAATCATCTTTCATTTAAAAATGTGTGTCACAAGTAAAGTTCTGAGAAAATATTCCAAAGCATAGGGGGACTTAAGTATAACAGTTAGCCAGCCAAGACTGCCGTGCATGGCTGTTTAGTGGAAATTATCTTAATGACATCTTTGTCTTGGTGTCTCCTTGTTTTCTCAAAAGAGTAAGAAGAACATTGCGACGGTGGTGAGGGAGCTGAAGGTGGTACCCAGCAGAAGAGTCTTGAGGATGGAGCTTGGCAGTGTGGACGATGAGAATCTGGTGCTAAAGAACAATGAAAAGATCGAGTGGTTGGCTGGAAGCTCGTTGGAGAACCTGTTCTTCAAGCTGTTTGATGAAGCGGGTAGAGAGGTATCTCTCTCTCCAGAAATAGCCTCAAAGATCAAGGTGTGTCTCAAAGTTATAATTAACTGTTTCCCTGTTATGTGTTTGTGCTTTTGTGTTTTAAGTTAGAGCTGTTTGGGTGTGTGATGAGAAATCAACCCATGCATTAAATCTGACATTTATAAGTCCTCATAATTAAAATCCACCCCCACTGTAACTGTAGTTTCATTTTCACTTTGCCTGTATCGAAGGTTACCTGGACTGCAGATGAAAATCTGGAAGATCTGCTCCAAGGGAGGCTGCCCGACTTACAGGTGCCCACACAGGCACATAGAGAGCAACGCTACCAGGTGTCCTACCAAGACCAGAGTGTGTCCTTCTCTTTTTACATCATGTAAGGCACTTAGCAGACTCAAAGCTTTAACTCCGCATTTGAAAGTTTGAGTAAGGCCCCGTGTCGACCTAGTGTTCCTTCCGGGCAGAAATGTGCTGGCTGTACGCTCTGGAGTGTTAGCATGAAGTGTTTGTGCACTAAGAAGAAAAGTGCTGCATGTCCGTCCTGTCTCCATGACAACAGTCTGTTGACAACAACCGCTATATGATGGACATTGCTCCGTTGCTTTTTACTGCATGTTTTTAATTTGAGATTGTTTTGACCCCAGCAGACACATGGCGAAGATGATATTGGTACGGGACACGACCTATAAGCGGCAAACATGTGGGGAATAATACATACATTCATTAAGAGCACCAATGATGCCAGCAGCTCCTCTCTGAAAAGTTTAATGATTTTCAACTTGAGTGCTTGGCGCTGTACAAAAAAGGCAGAGCGCTCGGGGAAAAAAAGAGGCTGGGCGCTGCACTCTTTCTTTGGGCGTCTGCCTGCTGCTGCAAATGCTCGCTGACCATTGAAAACAACAAAAAGAAGACTCTGGTACTCCGAAAAAAAACACTAGGTGGACACGGGGCCTAATAGTTCAATTTGTTTATTCTGTTTAATAAGATAAGTTAATTGAGAAGAAAGATACTCTTTGTGGCAGTTTGTATATGTAATATGAAGCTACAGCAGGTTGCCTCTCAGCTCCTTTAATAGGTAGAAAGGACAAGTTGAATGTCAGGCTTACAGTTTTTGCTCTTTTAAGTGTACTTTCTTACTCGTTATGTTTTAAGACCTCACCCTGATGAACCATCAAAGATGAAAGCGACTCTGCCAACAAAAAACCCAGTGAAGCTGGGTGAAACCATGTCTGGAATCAGTGAGTAACAACCTGCTATTGTTATTTAGTTTTTTAGAGTAAATGTTGCACACTGGTTTGAGCTCTTGTTTTTCCTTTCACAGCCTTGGAGCTTCTGGACCAGTATGATAATGTTACCCCAACACTAACCCCCATCTGTGTGGACCACATGAAGGTGGAAGCAGAGGGTCTGGACCAATCGGCCATTAACTTTGTATTTAAGGTGGGAAAAGAGATAAACAAAGCGGATTCAAAACTTGACTATAAATTAAGAAAGCTTTCTTCAAAAAGTTCAATTTGTTAATAAAAAAGTTAAAATGTTTGGCATTAAGATAAGTCCTCCTTATATTCCTGATTAGTTTGAAACTATCTCCTCACCTTTATCTCACAAATGTGGCTCCTTAAAGAGAAAAGCAGGATATGTGTGCATTATTTGAGAGTTGAGTACGGAGCCCCTGACATGTGGAGAAGAAGAGTTTCTGGTATTTGCCAGAAACTCCTCCAGCAGGGTCTTTTTTTAGGGGGTAGATCTTTAACCTCTAACTCTGTGTTTTGACTGTAGGAGAGCAGCAGCTCAGTGCTCGTGACAGGGGTGAGGTTTCAGTCTGGGTCTCTGGGCGCCAGAGAGCTTTGCTTCACCTACATGAGCTTTGAGGTGCGAGTCATAGTTAAGATGACAAATGGAGACCCTGCAAAGCTGGAACTAGTCAGTGGGCCAGAAATGGTAAGAGAATATGTTTTACTGAGGGGGGAAAGGGGAGGGGGGGGTCCAAACATTGATGATGTCATCACATCCTGTCTAGTTTGAGTCAAGCTGAGGAGCTCTGCTGCATGTCCTGTCCCATCTCTCTCCCCTCATTTCATGTCTCTGAATCTTACCTTTATGTACTTTTACAATTCAGCAGAAAAAAAATGAATTCACCATTTGTTTTTGTATATCTCTTAGCCTTTGCAGTTGTTCAATGATAATGGCATCGCTACACCCTTCGTCATTCAACTGCGTGACGAGTGGGGGAACCCCTGTCCGGACCAGAGGGTTTCTGTAGAGCTGAGGTCTTCACCCCCGCACTCAAGGTCTGACATCTGACATTTAACCCTGCTCCAGTTATTCTGTTAAAGAGGTCAATAAGAGCAGTAAACACAGGAACAGCATACATTGATCTGACTGTAGGAATGTGATGTCATCATCTTGCTGTAGGTGATGTCACCTGTTGCATCAATGCATGTGAACGCAGAAGGGACAGTGTCTTTCACTGTGAACAGCGTGAGCGGACCGAAGTGAGTGTCCCTTCATAATATTTACCATAATGGGTTAATAACAATGTGCTAAATAAGAAAATGAATCATGTGATGTCCACATTTCCTATTCATGCCCACCTATCACTAGCTGGTGTGTTGTTACCCTGTTGTTCCACTAGGGGGTACTATCAGCTGGAGTTTATAGGCTCCTTCAACAAAAAACCCATCCCTGGTCCATCAGTAAACCTTGCCGTCATCCCTGATCCCCACAAGCCTGTCAGGCTGTCAGTGCGGTATGATACAGCTGCAAAGTTTGCTGCTGGGGGAAAATTCCCAGGTTTGCATCTCTATTTTATCCTTATTTCCTGATTCTGTGAAGCTTTCTGGCATTTAATATTTTGTTTGTTCAGCTTTTGCTGTGACCGTGGAGTCTGAGGAAGGAAGCCCAATGACGACTTTTAACCCTGCTGCTGCGTCCATGCTGCTGCAGAATGGGGCGTCATCAGGAGGGATACCTCCTCCAACGGTGACTAACTGACTGACTAAAGTGGTTTTCACATATGCACTCCTGAAATCTGGTTGATCATGTCAGGACAGCCTGCCCCCTTTCATTTTAATGTGAGTTGTTATCCGCACATTTGTCCCTCGCAGCGTGAAGTTAAATGAAGCGACATAAAAAAGATGCTGCGCTTGTAATGTTTACAAGAAATCCAAGATGGCGGGCAAAGAAGAGTCAGGCCTTGTCAGTGATATGCACGATGGCTGGGAAGTGCGAAGCAAAATTACAAAGTGTGAAACAATTCTTTCAAAATTTTAGACAAAGTTACATTTTGAAAAACATTTTTACATTTTATAAAACAAAATGACAAGATATGAAACACTTTTACCAGTCCCCAAACAAATTAACAAATGACAAAATCAAGATCGGAAAGTGAATGTACCAAATGCAGGAAGTGACCCGGAAGTGATTGAGTGAGGGGTCATTTTGTTTGTTTTGGCGTGCAGATGTGAAAACAGCAATACTGAGGGACTGTCACAAAATGAAATGTTCTTTACTGAGTTATATGCTTCTACTTCTCTGATCTAGACCACCGAGCTGAAGTGTAGTAAGCCAATGGAGAATGAAAACAAAGACTGCTTTCACTTCAGGTAAAATACTTTTAAACTACTTTTCTCTTTACAGGAAGTCTAGAGGAGGACATGTTTACAGTTTGGGATATTTACATAACTCTGAGTGTTTGACAAGAAGATTGAGACATAAGAAGAAAATCAAACATTGCACATAACTCCCCTTAAACATTTCTACTTTTAAAAGTAGTTTTTTGTTCTTGAGTAAACAAACAAGATGTTGCGTGTTAGTTACTGACCTTTTATAGGTGCTGGTAGGCACATTTTGTTTACTCTTACTATTTAAATATGGACATCAAGTCTCTATCTCCCTCCACTGTACAATATTGAGGTCTTAAAGTGAGCTTTGAGTCTTTTGTTTCTACTCTATGGTAAATGAAAAAAAAAATGGTAAGTAAACTTTTTATAGTCAGACCAAGCCAAAATGTTGCCACTTATTTTGTTTTCTGTCACTGCAGAGATAAAGACATACCACAACATATCGGAGAGTACTCCATTCAGTTTTCTCTGCGTCTGGGGGGAGAAAAAGTCCTGTACAGCCCTGAGGTTGGTTCAACAGAAATCTTGGAATCATTCCTTTAAATCCCAAATGGGTTTCCTTAAATGTAAAAAGTGTATTGAAGAGTCTCACTACCACTGGACAGCGATTTTTCAGTGAGTCATTGCTGGTTTGTAAATCATCATCCGGACTGATCTCAGGACTTTTTCTCCTAGATGAAGATAAAAGTGGAGGCCAATCAGCCCGTCAGACTGGGGCCCAAGTCTCAGCCAACACCCCCGGTAGTTTCCTACAGTAAAGACATCTCCAGCCGGACCTTGGTGCAGAATCTGACTCTCTTTGTGATGGTGAGATTGTATCAATCTTTACTGAATGCACCAAAAAAAAAAATCACATTTTAAGGCATCTTTTTTTTTTAATCTGCAGATATTTAGCCTCACTGATATGAGTTCTGACTGATTTACAGGATTCATATGGAAACCCAGCGGGGCAGAACCTGAATGGAGAAGTGCTTGTTTCTATAAGGGACTCGCAGAATGAAGAAAAACGCAGAAACCTCCCGCAGTTTGATGGCAAAGCCAGCAGCTGTATGATCAGCTTGGTGGATGGAAAAGCCCACATTGATGTGAGTAATCATTTGATTCGGGACGCTGCACAGTTTTTTATTTGAGTCACCCATGATAACATACATATATTTCTCTGCACAGAGGCTGACTATCATGGAGAACAGTCCGGGATACAACGGCAGTTCATACACGCTCCTCTTTGAGCCTGTTGTGCAGTCTGTTCCCCTGACTCCCTTCACGCTCCCCTTCCATTTTTTTAATGGTATGATATTAAGAACAGCAATATACAGACCCATTTCTAATAAGGATGGGACATTGTATGAAATGAAAAAAATACAAAAACAATATGTTGAAACCCCATATTTGATTGAAAAAGCAAGACAACATGCCAAAGGTTGAAACTGAGATGTGACTCATATTGAACTTGTGATTGGAAGCTGAGGAGTAAATATATGCAACCTTAGTTTGATTTTCTTTGTACTATTGACGGAGTGATGAAGTGGGAACGAGTCATGCATCAAGTTTTAGTTTCTCTGGTTTCCTGATGACATTTTTCACCTTTTCTGTCAGTACCTAGATAGTTATGAGAACTTATTTTACAGCATTAAAAATGTTGTTCATAGATTAGATCTAAGATCATTCCAGACACATTACATCCATATGGATCCACATATTGCGGCATATATTTTTTTCATTTAAATTGTTCATTTTTATGAACAAAATTCCCACTGCGAATAGCAGAAGATTGAGTTTGAGTTTGATATGGGATTTATGTAGCCGATACCGCTATCGATATTTTGGAAGTAAAAAAACGAATACAGATATATTGGCCAATATCTTTCTTAGATCTATGTTGGATCTGTAGAGATAGATAGATTTAGATATACACATTTATTGGGTTGATCCCTCAAATGCAGTTATCAAACACAAGATATGTAATGAAGACAAGATGTCAACTTAAAGCTAGATCATAATGCACGCCAAAGATTCTGCTTAGTTCCATCGCTAAGAGAGAAAAACAATGCTCCTCGAGTTGTCCCTATCCACATTATCTCCCAGACCCTCTGCACCAGTTTCTTGTTTAAATAAAAAAACTGCCATCAATTGTTTGATGTTATACATTTCCTGGTTAAAAAGTAGCTTTATGTTGTTATGTTAAAGAAAACAAGTTTTTGAACCAGTTTAAATGTTTCCTTTCTTTGCTTGGACTCACACTTCCAACATCGTTTATCTGTTGACTTTTCAGATGCTGAGAACCAAAGAAAGATGTCTGAGCTGTCCAAGAAGAAAGTTAAGCTCAATGAAGAAATCGCTGTATATAAAAAAGTCTTTACAGAACATGACAGTCTCCTTCCTATGTTGAACAGTAAGATATTATATCCTCTTTTTGTCTAATTTTTACATTCAACCTGATCTAATGCCTATGCATGTCTTCTTGCTGTGCTAACAGGCAAAAGGAGAGCAATGATTGATACCATGTAAAGACTCTTTAATGTTACATATTCCAAAGCCACTGTGCAATATTCAAAGAACAAGTAAATAAATGTGTTAAACATTTGAAGCTTGGTGTTACAGGCTCATTTTGATCAATACAAGAAATGTCCGGAGGTACAAAACCGAGATCTTATTGTGACAGTGCTCGTTTTGTTTCTGATGATGATTGTTTGAAACTGTGTCCAATTGCATGGATTTTTATATTTTTTTGTAGATCAAAGGCTGGATACATGTAAAAAAGAGGCCGAGCAGAGAAAGAAGCTGATCAACCGTCAAGTGATATTAGCACAACATGTTACCGTAAGAAGTTTGTTCTAGCTGCACGATTTTGACGATTGTCTCGTTTCTGTATTTTCATTGTGGGTATTGATATTTCCTTTTCTTTTTTTCATTCTCTGTAGTTGCAAAGTCTTAACAGACTGATCGCAGAAAAAAACAAAGAAATGGAGAGGATCTTCAGGACGCCCAGAAGAGTCTACCCCCACCGGGATCGGTTCAAGGAGCTGCCGGATGTTTTGGGAATGGTCTGTCAAGTCTTTGGAAAGAAGAGCTTTTACAACAGATTAGCTTTTCAAAATAAGAGTGTCAGGAAACATTGTGTTAGCCTTGAGTTTGCAATGAGTTGGGAGATCAGTTTTACCATATCTGTGAAAGTGTAATCCTCTACCTTTTGTGTGCAGGTTGGTCACCTGGCTTTTATAAGTGACGACTCAGAAGCGAGGGTCATCTCCTGGCACCTCAGAGGCGACATGAGATGTGTCGTTACTAAAACCAGGGAAGCAGCACAGAGGATCCATCGTGACACCCATGGACAGCAGGAGGTCTTGCCCCTCACCAGTGTATACGTGGCACAAAACAAGGGGTACGCCGTCTGCGTCAGTCGTCTTTAGTGACTATGAAAAGTTCTCTGTTGGATTCCTGCACTTTAAAATCATTATTTACTTCAGCAGTGCTGTTGGTGCCCGAGTAGCTTTCCTGTTGAGATTACTTTGTGTCCTTGATTATAGTCTTTTTAATCTCCCACCCCAGCAACTGTAATTTAAAGATCTTACAGCACTTCCTTCTTCCTCTGACAGTTGGAGAAATAAGTGAAGTCAAGCTTTCACACCACAAAAACATTTTTAGTTTTCATCCTCATCACATCAAAAAAGTTCAGATGTAATGCTTTAAAATGTTGTAAACACAGTTCTGTTTGGTTTAAAGGTGATATATTCTCCTCCTCTTCAAACAGTGTAAATAAGACTCAGAGCTCCTTAAAACATGTCTGTGAAGTTTCTTGTTCTAAATCCACTCTGATCCTGTATTTGATCATGCCTATAAACCCCTCTATTTCAGCCCTGCTCAGAACAGGCTGTTTCTGTACCTTTAAATATGTAAATGAGCTGTATCTGATCACGCCCCCTCTCTGGAAGGGCTTGGGTGTCTTGGGCTTTCTCGTTCCATGTCTTATTGTTTACGGTGAGAAGGCAGACTCAGAGGGCAGAACAAACACCTAGCTGTGGGAGTGTCACCCACCTGGGGGAGGGGTTACTGCCCTTTGTGATGTCATGAAGGGAAAATCTCCGAACGGCCTGTTTGAGCACACATTTTCTGAAAAGTGGAGCAGGGAAAAGACAGAGAGGGTGGACTTTTCTCATCATTGTGGGGTTTGTAGACAGACTAGGGACACATTTGTAATGTATTTGTGTATTTTTTCATAATATGGGAACTTTAAAGTACACAATTACAAACACTGACAGTCGATAGTAATTGAGATTTAATGTCAGAAAATTCTGTAACGACTCTTCTTTTTTAAATCGAAATAAACTAAATAACTTTAAAGTTCACATATTATGAAAAAATACACAGATACACAGAATAACTTTAAGTGATGTACTGGTTGAAGAGACAGCTGCAGCTCTGTTAAACATACTATGCAGACTTGATGTGCAGTGCACATGTACAGTATCTCAAGAGTTGTGATTGATTATTTAAGAATCACACTGAAATAATTGGTATTCATTGGCTGCCTGGAACTGAAAACAGAGTACACTGTTTTGGATTCTTGGTTAGGAGCTACATCTGTTAGACTTAATAAAACAATCATTTTTAACAAGTTTGCGACTCTAGGAACAAAGTTTTGGATGATTTCTGCCCTCTTTTCACTAAGATTTGAATTGCTTTCAGGCTGCTGCCACACTTAAGAAACGGCCGTCTTCTCTTTGAGCCCCGTGGGAACCCAAAGTTTGCCAGAGAACTCCTCACGTACCCTGGAGACCAAGACCAACAGAGCTGTGTGACTGGTGAGAGGCCTCGAACTGGATTTCCCTGGCTAAGTGTAACCCTGACTGTTTGTTTTTCATTGCAGGTGTACAGTACAGGCCCATTAAAGGTGTCTTTGGTTTTCTAGAAGCTTCCCAGGTCATTTTATGTTTTGTATTTTTTTTCTTAATTTTTCACAACTCCTGTTGAGACCCTGGTAAATGGTTCCACCTGGAACTAAATCTCACAGTGGTGGGGGGGGACGGTTCCTCACCCAGGGGCCCCGTCACTGGAACAGAAATCGGGCCTCTTAGCGCCTTAAATGGATGTTAATTTAGGTATTTCCTGTAGTTCGGAATGTGTATGTTTCCTGTGTGAAAGTCGTATAGGGCGCTGTGATTGTAGAAGTTTACGTCAACTTGTCAGAACAACTCTGAAGGTTTCCTTCTGCTGCTTCCTTTGCAGTGTTTAAAAACTTCCTCGCAAATACTATTCTGATCGATGACCTGGACTCTGGAAACCACTACAGAGAGATGGTGAGTGACGCTGAGCCGTTCCATAGACTAACTGGGCAATGATAATTTTTCCTCTAAATGTGACTTTGATTCCAGGTGGTGCAGGGTGGGTCACAATGTCCCACCATCCTGACCAGGCAGGGGGACAGGATAAGTGGGAAGGGCAAGTTTGGAGGCTCACAGAACAGTGCCCCCTCGAACATGCCAGACGTTTTTGGAGCCCCCATCCCACAGGAGTATTTCACTCTTAAGGAACAAATAGGTGACGTCTCTCATTAGTCGTGCTTTAAATTGCATTATTCTGTCCTTTTTTTCTAAACATTGTGGTAATTGTACACATTAATTCCTGTCATGTCAACAGAGCTGCTCCGTCAGTATGGGATAGTTGTGCAGAAGAGGGATGAAGCCGAAAAGGATTATCAAGACCTATTAAACAAACAGAAGTCCCCTGAGGCGCTGAAACAGAAACAAGAAATGGACGAGAAAATCAAAGAACTTGACGAGATCAACAGACACATTGGTAAGTTTGTTCATGGAAGTAAAGGCATAAAATATTATTTTTGTTGAATTATTATTATTTCAGTATTGTTGGTTCATAATGATTTGTTTTCATCTTCCAGAGTCTTCACGATTAGGACCGGTGAAACGTCCTGGGGATGCTGGTGAGCCATCGGGGATTCATACAAAGAGAGCAAAGCCAGCCTCATAGCTGGTGAAAATGTCTTTAGTGAAGTCTTTTATTTTTTTTTATATTTGAGCCTTTATGTTGGCATTATTCATTTTTATTATGGAAAAAAATATGCTGCATTATATTTTGTTCTCATCAATCAACGTATAAAAGATTTTTCTGTTTAATAATCTGAACGAATGTCTGGAATATTTCCAAATCAGAAAATACATATGCATTGTCATCCCTTTGCCTGTGTCTTTATTTCTACTCAATAAAAATCTCAGTGAACAACAGAAGTCTGGGGGGGAAATGTGGGAAATGAAGGTTCTGGCCAGACAGAAACGTGACAAGCTTTCACATTTTTACGCAAGAGATAATTACGGTGCCTTTTCGAAACAAAGGCAATCATTATCCCGATTTATGCCTCCGGAAATGTTGCAGGTCTGTGATATTGTGTCTCTGGATGCAAAATGAGACTTGGTTTGAGCTGCGGTGTGTGTGTTTGTGTGATCTAAGGGGGGAAAAAAGAAAAGAAAGAGCATCTGTTAGTATTGGAGGGGTTACCAAAACGTCACACTGTGGACGCAGGAGGGAGCATGTCAGGTCTGAGCTGCGTCGACAAGGAACAACCCGAGGTGCCTTCACTGATCTGTGGATCACAGAGCTTCTTGACTGAGTGATACGGGAGGATATTTACAATTTAAGTCAACAATGAAGCGCGTACTATGCGGACTGCAACTCCTTCACTTTTTAATAACTTTTACTTCTATCAGTGGGTCACCTTTCCATTATAGCATGCTCCAAGGCAACACGTACTCAGGCTCCGAAACGCGACAGAGAAACAAGTGAGTAGGCTACTATGTGTCTATAGTTTGAATTAGTAACATAACAATGATTTCATTACTGTGACGTACTTTACGGTGCGTAAATGCTTTCCATTGCGTAAAAGTACTCCGCAGTGAGTACGCACCGGAGCTCTCTACATCAGGACTAAATAATCGATGATTTTCTGCAGAAACTGGTGCGCCTATGTTGTGCACAAGAACGTCACCTGTGCCGTGGTGGGAGGCACGGAGAGTTTCGTGCAGCCAGAGGCTTTACCGTGTCCACCGGAGCTGCCAAACTGTGCCACAGAAGTGATGTAAGTCCCCTCAAATCTAGGAAAACGGGTGCACTGTGGGTATTCTTAGTCTTTGTTTGGTATTCTTAACTAAATCAAAGTACTTTTTTTATTATCATACTGACCAAAAATGTATATTACATTGTTAACCAGAAGGAAGGAATTAAGTTTGAGAGGAAGCAGCTGTTCCTTTTAGATCCACTTCTATTCTTGCATGTGTTCTTAATTTTTTCATCTCTGTTGTCTTACTTTGTAAACTTTAATTTGTATTTCCGCTTTGTTTAACAAAGATTATAATATAAAAATACATTGATTTGTATGGGTCTAGTGGTTCTGTGGTGCTATTTCATTCTAATTAAACGAACTAATGATCCTTTTTCTTCGTTTTTTCTTTTCTTAAAATGTCTGGCATTGACACAAAAGAGATTTATTTTAAGAAAAGTCCTTAAAACGGATCTTATAAAGCTGTTTCATTCAGGGATCTGTGTTGAGTCTCCCTGGTAGGTAAACTCAGACTCTGTTCTGCTTTTGTTTGTCTTCACTGTCTCAAAACACTTGAGAGTTAATCTTTGGGTGGTATAGCCATGTGGGTCAACAGTGTCCTCATGTGGGGAAGTGGTGGAAAATCTTAAACTGCATCCTGCCGACGGCATAATTAATGAATTGTGACTGTGACTGGTGTTTATTGGTCATAGATGTCAACAGACTTATTATTTATTGTGCTGTGATTGCAAGTTTACAGGGAGGGTTGTGCAATGTCTACCATTAACTATCTATTGACAAAACATTTTTCAAATATACTATCACATCATAAACCAAAACACTGTAAAGCATCTGCGGTTTCTCATGTCCACAATGTGTTAAATGCTTCCAGATATCGGACTCACTTCAGACCTATGTATAAGATCGCATACAAGACTGTTACAGAGCTGGAGTGGAGGTGTTGCCCGGGTTACCAGGGACACGACTGCATGGAGGTGAAAGACATGAAGCTGCTCCAAGTAGAGCGCATGCCGTATGCTCCCTCTGCTTCAGGACATATTCCAGTTCCTCAAGGTGAAAGACAAGATTATACGTAAAGAAATGTAGCATAAACTTCCAGAAACAGACTTAAACAAGTATGTAACTGCTGGAAAAATGTCAGAAAATGTACATTAACAATGTTGTTACCCAACCCTCATTTTTATTTTTCCCTAAAGCGCCATCACAGCGAACCGACAGCCAGAGGAACCATCCATGGGGAGGGGAGAGGCAGTTTGGAGGTCAGACAGGTCACAGACCACTGGAGGGTCATGGAGGATTGCAAAATGGACAACACCTGGAGGACGAGGTTCAGAGGCTGTCCCAGATGGTTCTTGACATGCAGGCAAGAATGACAGACATGTCATCCAGTTTGAGACTGGACTTCCAAGAGGATGCCAGTAAAATGTTTGTGACACTGATGAATGACTACAAACTGCCCGCCAGCGCGAGGGGCGAGGTGGCCCAAACCATTCAGGTGCAGGATTTCTCCTTTGAGCGCGATCCACCAGCAATTGATGAGGTCATGAACAAGATCAGCCAGGTGTCACAGGATCTGGAGTCCAAGAGGAACACCCTGGATGACCTGCTCGGCCGTGTTAACCACCATGACGGACAAATTCATCTGTTAATGGAGGCTGCCCGGAATCACCTGCCCACACATACTCCTGCCCCTCCAACCAGTGATGCAGATCTGCGAGCCTACCTGGACCAGAAGATCAGTGCCCTGAGAGAGGAGTTAATGGAGGGCATGGAAATCAAACTGGCAGACTTGAAGAACTCGTGCGATTATAAAATCCTGTCAGTTCGGGAGCAGTGCGAGGGACAAGAAGCCAACTACCTCAGCCTGGCCGAGCTCATGGACTCAAAGGAAACTGACCTCCGCAGTGAGATCCAGGACCTCACGACCAAGATGGTTAATGCAGTTAACCGTGAACATGACCCTGTTCTGGCTCATGTGGAGAACCTCGAGATCCGTCTGAACTCATCTGAGAAGACAGTTGTGTCCCAGTGCCTTTTAGTGGAGGAGAAGCTAAAGATCGATCAGGGGAAAGTGTTCAAAGGCCTTCGGGAGACTATGGAAAACAAGCTGGCCTCCATGGAAGACAGACTGGCCACCCTGTTTGTCAACTCTTCAACTGACAGCCAGCCAGAGAGGCAAGACAATCTACATGGGGACATTAAATCTCTAAAGGGCGCCTTTCAAACTCTGGAGAATCGCTTCGATGTCTTGGACAAGCTGTGCTCAAAGGAGTGCAACGCTAATTTGACTGTTGTAGAGAACATTGAACAAGACTTGCAGGGCTGCAGAACAGCTGTAGATGCTTTGGAGATCAGTCTTGAAGCTAATATAAACGGCCTTGAAGCCATTGAGGGGAAACTGTTTAACTATAGCACAAGCATCGATGATGTACACGGTGAGTTAAATGGTCTGAAAGGACACATGGGTAGGCTGGAGGACGTGCTATCAGATGTAGCCCACCAGCAATCTCAGAAGATCCAGAGCCTCAACACGACGTGGGATCAGGTTAAACTTGGGGCCGAGCAGGAAGTCAAGGACCTTTTGGAGCTCCAAAAGACTCAAAATCACGAGCTGAGAGACAGGCTGAGCCAGCTGTCCAGGGAGGTGAAAGCAGAGACTGAAAACTGCCGGGAACACACGGCAGACTTTGGAAAAGAGATCGCCCACATCGACAGCCGAATTGTCAGCGTGGAGAGTTTATGCGGAAAGCTGGATCCTATCTCTGGTAGCCTTCAAAGGATCAAAGAGGGTCTGAATAAACATGTCACTGGGTTGTGGACTTGTGTGAACCAGCTGAATGCAACAGTTAGAGGTCAGGCCCAAGACATTGGAGGACTGAAGGGAAGTAGTCAAAACCTCCAGAACCACATCTCTAATGTTGCCAGAGATCTCCAGGAACTAATAAACAGCAATCCTGGGAAGACAGGTGAGCTGCTACACACACAAACACTGACCCTTTTTATTGCCCCCGAGTATAAGTGATAACTTGTTCTTGGGAGAAAGCGATTTAAACACACTCTTTAAAAAAGTAGTAGATACCCATGCAACAAAACATACCGGTATTGCTTAAGTCATTACAGTCAAGTGCACTGCTGCTGCCAACCATGATTGAGCTGATATGACGGTGATTGCTAATGTTAACTAGTGTTAGCTAACTAGAAGCGATGTAATGATATTTAAAAAACAATTAAAATTCCCCAAAAAACATTTTAATTGATGAGAGAAAAACATTTATTGGAATATCATATTTTAACCAGCAGAGGGCAGTATCTGCTTTTGGAGTATTTTGTTCAGCGTCATTAAAAAGTAGGCTATTACGTACTTAAACTGATTACAAGGGATTTTTATACAATATAGAATATTTTCCAATTTCATTTCAGAGAATTTGAGTTTGTTTTTAGATTATAATTATTTAATATCAATCGCATTTCTTTATGAAAATTTGAAAATCTTAGAATATCCAGATAAAATTTTACTCTGAGGCTGGTAGCCTAGAGGTTTGTGCGTGCCCCATGTCTGAAGGCTGTGGTCCTCCGAGTGGGCTGCCTGATTTCAAAATCCGACATGTGGCTTCTTTCTTGCATGACATTCCCCTCTCTCTCACTTTCCCTGATTTCCGACTATCCACTGTCTTGTCTCTAAAAATAAAGACACAAAAAGCCCAAAAATAAATCTATTAAAAAAAATAAAAATCTTACTGTGAACCCAGAATCGTGATCCGTATGGCGTCATGACTTGAGTGATTGTTACATCCTGACTAACTTAATTGCTGTATAACTGCATTACTGAGCTTCTCTTAGATTTTTCCCTGACTCAGCGTTTTCATTTATCGCCCATATCCTGTAAAGTTCACTTGTGGCCAAAGTCGACACAATCCTCCAAAAGTTCCATCATCTCAATTTAAACCAGCATTTTCCAAGTTTACATCAAGCTAAATAAGATTTATTATCCTAAGCATTTAGCAACATAAGAGCTGGAGATCAGTCACATAGCTGTAATATTTCCCGACATGGTTGGATCATCGCTTGGACCAGAGTCAGTTTGTGTATCACAGGCTGGCGGTGTTTTTGGAGTGTGTTTCAGTGTGTGAGTGAGAGGAAGTTGGACTTTGATTTAACCATGTTCTCAGTTAAAGGAGGCAGGCTTGATTAAAGACACATGCTTGAGTTAATAGAGCCCACTTGTGTTGAGCAATACCTTGGCTAAAAGAAATCTTGTTCACTTTTTTTGAGCATCTGAGTGTGTCTTGGTGTGTGTCCTCTCTCTCTATATATGTAGGTTTTTTAGGGTAAAACACGAAAACATCAGGGTGATAGTGCTCCCCTGGTTTGATATCATGTGGATATTTGGCTATTTTCTTACAGTTAATACTGGAAATGTTTGTATTGGGGTTTGGCTATGTGCTGTACGCATATGTGAAAGTACAGATTTTCATATCCCTGCATATGTTGCATATTTGTTGTATGAGTCCGATCTGTAATGGTTCCTAGGAGACCCTGCTGGACTTCTCTGGCTCGCCCTGTTGAAAACGTGAACTAGAATCACACCCAGCATGTCTACAAGCCAAGTGCCTTCCTGCGGGACCGGCCCGCATTCAATCACCGGTTTATGGAGCAGGTGATGCAGCATGTGAGCCAGTTTAAAAATCTCATGGGAGGCGAGGGGGAATTAAATAATCCTGGTTCTAGTTTTGGTTCACATCTGAGAGATAGATTTTGTTTGCTGCTTTTGTCTCTGAAGCTCTGACATGCCAACTCTTCTTATGACTAGATCTGTGATGCCTGTGACATGTTGCCACTCCACCCCGTGGCCGCTGTCATAAAACTGCATGTAATTCATCATTCTGTCAGTGGGGAGTTTTGCAAGTGGGAGCCCATTTTGCACAATTTCCACTCATGCCCCTTGTGTTGCCATTTTGCTGCTTGCTCCGTAAAAAACTCAAGCTTCCTGTTTGTCTTCACAATCCCAGCTGCCTCGTCCCTTTGTCTCCCTCCCTGCTTATCTAAAGAGACTGGAAAATGCTGCTTGGAGGAGTCCATTACAAAGAGATCCCCACACACGGCTTATCAGAGATCCACTCTTGGGCGTCTTTTTTTCTGAGCCAAGAGCGTCAGTGTGTTTAGATTAGGTGCTACTGGATCGACATCCCCTAATTTCCTCACACACTCTGCGAGGCTTTTCCTTTTACTTCTATCTCTTTAAGTCCATCTGTGGCTTTCTCCCTTCTTTTTTTTTTTTTTAACTTCCACGGCTGAGCTCCTTTGCTTTGGAAATAAACAGTGCCAACACTAAAAGCTGCAGAAGGGTCCCAGGGGCCATATGTCAGCGTGTTTACCATGATGTCATAGTGGTGTAAACCCTGAACGAGAGGGTCAAGTAAGAAATGGAAGAGAGACTCTAGATGTCACTCTGATCATGACTATCACACTTTGATTTATAATGGCTTGTTGACACAATGTGAAAGAATCACAAAGGCCGCTGAGCTTTAGCTTTACAACCTTTTCCTTCAGTCAACAGTTGTCCACGTATTTTAAATGTATGTTAAAGCTGCAGCTGCTCGACGTAAACACACTATTTAAGTCGTACTTGACCTTGAAATGGACCACCTTGAATAACATTAAATAGTGACTGAGAAATCTTGTTTTAATCCAATATGATAACACAAGCTGCTCTAACATCCAAGTTTCTTTATCTGTATACATGCATGAGAGAAAATCCTTCTGGTGTGTTTCAGTTGACCTAAAGTCCCTTCAAACAGCCTCATAGAGCTCTATTAGACGAGAGGAGTGATCACGCTTTCCGGCTTCTGACAGCACTCTGTGGATGAGCTGCTGGGTCAATGACCTACAGAGATAACGTTTTATGGTGACGTGCTCTGTTCTGTGGTCAAACATGATAACCCTGTGCACAAAAAAAAAAACAAGACTGGACCTGACAGAAAGCCCTCGAGGGAAAACCAAAGCCTGTGAAGTAAGAAGGCTGCAGAGACTGCGGCTGCTTTATTTATCCCCCGTTATCCTGACTGAGAGGGCGTTACAGTATCAGACGGGAGTAAATGACCCAACTCTTTTTTTCTATCTGAAATCCTGCAGCTGGATTTACTGCTTCCAAAATCAAAGTCTTAAGAGCCCAGTTTGTTTTTGCTCAAAGTGACTCATAAAGTCAACGCACACTAAACTGCAATGCAGTCATCGTTATGTGGCTTCTAATGTGGGAAACGGACATTTTTGCGACACGGAGGGCTGTTGTGTCCTGGAAGGAGAAGGGATGGGATGCAATTAGTTTTCTGTCCACATCATCTCCAGCTGTGTGTTTTTTTTATTTTTTTTACCTCACCTCTTTAATCATGACAAATACTGTACTTACACATATAGAGCTGTTCTCATACTGATCCCAGCATCCAAGACCAATACTGACACCAGTGTTTGCAATTGTTTTGGATGCAAGACATCTTTGTTTTTGAGTCCCTAAAGAATCAAGCTCAGTCTGGACACGCCCCTGGCTGTGGTATATCAGTGGTACCTGGAATCAGCTGATGCTTAAGTCTATGTATCAGGAAGCAAAAAATGGTATTGGACATAGGTATTGGGGGGGGACTGTGGCTCAGTGGTAGAGCTGGTCGTCTCTAAATTGAAGGATCCCCAGCTTCTGCAGTCACATGTTGATGTGTCCTTGGGCAAGAAGCTGAACCCCAAAGTGCTCCCGCTGCTACGTCCTCAGCATGTGAATGTGTAGGAATGGTATTAGTTCATACTGATGGACACTTCAGTGTGGGATGAATGTGACATGCGAGGTCACAGGACTAGAAAAGCGCTGAACGAAGCTGAAGTCCACTTACCATCTACTCGCAAATACGTCTGTCTTCACGGCAGTAAAATCAGTTTTGAATCCCTCCCATCAAAGGCTGCTCGCTGCAGCACATACCTGAATTTATACGAGGAGCGAGTAGACCAACAAACACACACCAGTGAAACACAAGCACATGTGCAGACTGTTACCCCCTGTGCTGTTTTACGCGTACACACCGGCCCCTCTGCACATGGTCTGTTTAACAGGCAGACCTCGCTGCCTTTTATACCAAATTACCTTTTCCCCCGGGTGCGGGACAAACTGACAAACTGTCTGGTGATTGAACATGTGGCAGTGCCCCGGTAATGCTGCTGGTATGCCTTTAATGTGTGTCTTTTCCCCTTGACAATGAGCCCGCCCCCCCAGCCAGGAGGGGTGATGTGTTGATAAACTCCAGGGTCCATCTGAGGAATGCAGCGGTACCACTGAGCGACGCTTGACGGGGCAGTGGTCAGTCATTTTCTCTGTTTACGGCCACAGTAACAGGCTCAGATAATCACTCTGTGTTAGCGAGAGTCAATGGAAGCTCTCTCATAAACATGAACACAATTACAAGTTTATTATGAAGGTAAATAGTGGAAAGATACATTTACTTTAAGTCCATGTCATTTTTATGAGGTTTTCAATATTTACTGGTTGAACTCATTAAAGTTTGAAGCATGACGAGGTAAGACATCAACCACACTGTGAGTCTGCAGGAGTAGGGCCCGCCTGTTAGCGGTCATTTTGCACGCCTCTTGTACAAAGGCTGTAGCCCTCGTTGCAGCGGCTGTTGGTTTGAATTTGACCTCTGCCCTTTTGCTACATGTCATCCCCCTACTCTGTCCTCCCAACATTACCTGTCTCTCTTCAGCTGTCTTAACTCATAAAGTCAAAAATAGCCCAAAATGTCAACTTAAAAAACAAAGAAATGCACGAGAAGCCGTCCAGTGAATACAATCAACCTACAATAAGAATTCAGTCTAAATTTAAGATTTTTAGATTTTTGCTTTTGGATTAAAGTTTCCTGTTGAAGCGGTGCGATCATGTTTTGTTAAATGACAGAAGTTTTCCCACTGTCATCACATCCCTCTTTGGGAAGAGAAAAAAGCTGCCACTGCTCATTTTGGGCAGTTCGTCTTGGATTTAAAAACTCCCCTGTAATCCACCTCCACCCTTTTGCCTCACAGCCAGCGAGGCGAGAGGGTGGAGGCCGTCTTGTCCGTGTCCAATCGCAGCATCCAGAGGTAGGAGTCTTTCGGGCTTCCTGTCAGGAGCAGCACCGCCGCTGTCGCATGATCGCTGCAACTGCAGCAGCTCGACATCCCTGATGAGCAAATTAAAATATCCTGAATTTTAAGACCATAAAGTAAATCCAAGAAAACGCGCTCAGCCTCAGTAACTTATATGGGTGCCGAATCCTCAACCAAAACATGTATCAGAAGTATTTATGTGGGCGCTGGAAGGTCAAGGGTTCGATCCCCAGCTCCTGCAACAACTTACCCCGAATGTCCATTTACCATATTTCAAGCACAGCACACCAAAATCTTAAATTTAAACTTTTATTAAACTCAGACTCGTTTTGATGTGCTGTCCTGAAATACTTCAGGAATTTGAAGACACCAGACAAGAATTCACATTTTTGTTAAAACACTGTTTCAGATAAACATTCCTAATTTCCACTGCCTGGAAATGTGACCGCCTTGTACATGGAAAAAAATAATGTTTTAGGCAGAACAGGAAATCTGTGTACATGACAACGATCAATGATTTACTTTGATCATTTAAAAGAAATGACTTTAATCCTGTTATTGAAAAACACTTCAACAATACAGACTCTCACCATGTCAGCCATCTGTGTTTGACTGGGTGGGTTGAGCGTTAAGCTTCCTTCCTTTTATTATAAATTGCACATTTTTCATTGTCCATCCCTCTCTGTTTAAATGACACTGACAGTGTTTGATAAGGTGTTACCCAGGATGAAAAGACTCTTTTTAACAGCACTCTTTACCTCGCCGTAGCAGCAACAATAACTCCTGTCTTTGTTGAAGACATAAAGGATAAGCTTGAACATGTGTGAGTCGTTCAGGTGAGTCAGCATGGATGAGATTTATTTCTAAAAGTGTATTTCTTTAAAGTACATTTTTGTAAAGTGGAGATAAATACAGTGGGTCCAAAGTTCAATCCCTACCTATACATTCAAGTTGTCAGGCAGGCTCAAGACTTTCTCTTCTGCTCATAATTTGAAGGTTTATGACAGTGATTATGGGAGATCCGTCTCACTGTCTCGTCTTACAGGGGCGAGCTTTGTAACCAGCTGGTCTGTTAACATGTCTGACCTCCGAACACCTGGCCGTACATCTGTTTCCGTCTGACCTGCAACCTCAGCCCCATCGCTCAGCACCTTATCTGTCGTTTTCAGGTGTTCAGGTTGCTGTGGACGACAAAGGACCTTCCCAGGGTTCAGGTCAGAGTCTTACTGTGCCAGTCGGGCCCCTGGACCCCTCCCTCCAGCAGCCGACTGTGATTGAGACGGGAGAGGCGGGACCTCCCGGCAAGATGACCTCGTCCAAGCTGCCCGAGGGGACTGACGGCAGCATGATGCCTGTTCAGGGTTTTGCTGGGGCTCCAGGTGAGACACACACACAAACCCACACACAAACACACACACAAACACACACACAAACACACACACACACAACAAAACTAAATGCACTCTGCTCTGAAAGCTTCCCAGCATTGTTTCAAGTGTCTCATCTTTTACTGCACAGCTTCTCCTTCCAAATCTGGTGACCCGCTGAAAGTTAGTACGCCGATCATTACAGGTAACATTCATTTATTCATTCATTTTGCTGCCTCACAGCTGAGCTTTTAAGTGGATTACATTTGTATCCTTTCATCAGCAGATGTGAAAATGCCCCTCATCCTTACACCACAGAAACCTGCCCCGGCTTCAGGTCAGAGTTCAAGTACTTAACAGGTTCTTTGTCTCGGTTAATGTAACGAGTATTAAAGGGTGTGGTTTCCTGTCCTGTGTTCAGTTGAGGCGGTGTCGTTCTCAGCTGGTTTGACTCTGCTGCCGTTCCCCGGAGAGATGGCCATCATTCGATTCAACAAGGTGCTCGTCAACGATGGAGGACACTATGACGCTCAGACAGGTACCCGTCACCGAGGTCTCACTGATCCAAAATGTTTGGTCTTGGTCCACTTCATATGACCCCCCCCCCCCCCCCCAAAACCACACGTGGACTTGCAGTTTTTACATGACATCATATGCAAAATATCTAACAAGGGGAATCTTATAGAAAGGCTCTTTGCATAAGCTTCTAGATTCTAGCGGCTCTGTGAAGCTAAATGCTAACTCCAGCATGTAACTTGGAGCTTTGAGCAGCTAACGGTCACGTCTCGATGATAACCCGCCAAAACCAATACACCCACAGGACTTCCTAATCCTTTTCTAGAAGACAAGCTACCCTGATATCTTCCTGAGTTTCTTGTTCTTACATTTACGGGAAGTTTAACCTGTCAGAAAGGGGCGGGGGAAGAGAGGGGCTAAGTAGGCAAGCCATGACGCAAAAAGGACGTGCCAAGATGGCGGACGAGCAACCGAGTTCGACACTATGATCACAGCTTTTGCCTTCGCATCAATTCTGTAATTGTATTCAGTGTTTACAAGAGAGCGGAGGAGAACTTACTTGCGAGCGGAGAGCGTAATGAAACACTTTTATCTTGTGTACGTCGATCGCAGCAGTCCCGGTCGCTGGTCGCAGGACATAAACGTCATCACCCACTCCAGGTGAATTTTCCTGAATATGTGATTAGTGCCTCACGATGGCGCTAGAAGGAAGTCAGTGGGATTCATCGTCTTATGGAGGCGTTAAGGTCGTGTCTGCCTCAGAGTGGTTTACATTAAAATCAGATATTTTGAATGACTTTTCATTTGGAGCACCTCTCTTTGTTCTCAGGTATCTTCACAGCTCCCACAGACGGACGCTACCTGCTGACCGCCGTGCTCACAGCACAGCGAGGCGAGAGGGTGGAGGCCGTCTTGTCCGTGTCCAATCGCAGCGTCCAGAGGTTGGACTCTTCGGGCTTCCTGTCAGGAGCAGCGCCGCCGCTGTCGCAGGATCGCTGTAACTGCAGCAGCTCGACATCCCTGAGCCTGGTTCTGTCGCTGAGGAGAGGGGATCGAGCAGGACTCGTCATGACCGCCGGAAAACTCGCCGTCTCAGACTCCCCGGAGGTCCTGTCGACTTTCAGCGCCGTGCTGCTTTACCCGAGTCCAGCAAAACGGTAGCCCCGCCCCTTTTAGAGACAGCTGACGCATTTCGTAAGCCTTAAGAGGAGTGTTGTGTATGTTAATGATGTTATTTTATTATCAGAAAAGAGGGACAACCTACTAACCAGGAGGATAAAAAGGGATCCACAAAAACAAGAAAATGACAGAACCTCAAACCAGATTATTTCTATTTTACATACTAATATAAAGTGTTTACATTACGATCTATCTGTAAAGTTTTGTTCATGATCGAGATTTTATCGATACAAATTTGGCTTGAACATTTCATTCCTGCCCTCTGCAGTTATCTGAGTTTTAGCCTTTAATATTTAAAACCACATCGAGCCTTGAACCAGCATTAACTCATATTTTCTGATCTCAGAGAATTTTTTACGTTAACATTTAAGAAGAAGAAGATTTCCTTTATTAATCCTGCGAGGGGAAACTCAATTTGACGCTCTGTTGTCGAACATGCTACACACACAGAGGCTGAAATACACACACATGTACAAACAGGATCCTGTGGACATGATCTAATGGAGAGATGTCAGAGTGAGGGCGCTGCCTACAGCAAGCACTCTTGAGCTGGTGGCGGGGGTCCAGTGCCTTGCTCAAAGGCACCTTGGCAGCGCTCTCCAGCTACCAGACCAGTTATCAGACTTGGTCCGCACTGGGACTTGAACAGGCCACCCTCCACTTCCCACCTAAGGCCCTACAGACTGAGCTACTGCCGAAGTTTGTCCACTTCAGCAGAAACCAGTGTTTGACTTTGTAAAGAACACAAAAGTACATACAGACAAACTCTTCTTCTTCTTTTTGGTGCTAAAATGTTACAAATGTAGAAAATCTGATTTTATTGTTCTTTCAAATACATTTTTATTAAAGGATCATCCAACATTTGATTCACGTTTATTAATCCAATACTGACAGTAAATAGAATATGAGTACAGATTATTCCCTGTGCTGTATCGTTTCCTCATGCTCTAAAGAAGACAGAGAACTCACCTTTCACACGGCCTCACAAAGGAAACAGTTAAATGTTGTTTTCTATTTCTCAGTCATCCAAAACAAACTTTGTGCTCACATTTTTCGATAAAAACTATAATCTATGTTTTCACAGAGTTGTCACAACAAACTACTGCAAACACCTGAAGCAGCTAAACTGGGGTGGCGGGGGCAGGTTGTGTGTTCTCGTCACACAAAGATTTTCACTTTCATAGAAAGAATTCATCGCATTTTACCGACAGCTGTTACTGAGTGTGGAAAAAAAGAGGCTTGACAATCACATACTGCCTCTTTAACGGCAAAAAGAAAAAAAACCACAGCTGCAGCAGCATCTACGGTTCAGAAAGTGCTTTTTAAAATAGATTTTTCTTTGTATTTATTAAGTATAAAATCATCTACTTTTGGTCACATATTATCCACTTCACCATGTTCCTCTGACTCTAATGTGTCTCTAGTCCGTCTAAAAACCCCCCAATGATGAGAAAAGTTCATCCTCTCCGTCTTTTGCCTGCTTCACTTTTCAGAAAATCTGTGCTCAAACAGGCCGGTTGGAGATTTTCCCTTCATGACATCACAAAGGGCAGTAACTCCTCTCACAGGGGGGGTGACATTCCCACAGCTAGGTGTTTGTTCTGCCCTCTGAGTCTGCCTTCTCACCGTAAACAATTCATAGCTATCAGTGACGTCACCAGCGCGGAAGGCTGGAGGGCAAAAAACGCTCTGGAAAGTAGCGGCTACCGTTGAAAACCCTGTAGAACTGCAGCACGAGCTTTTAATTTAGCATCTCCTATAAACGACAAATGTTTACATCACCTGACAACCATAGCAAAACTACGATATTAAGATGAACTTTGAGTTTGGGGCACTTACTTTAACAGCCCACGGGACACATTTCTAACACAATCGCTAGAAACATCAAGGTCCGTGCCGGTGTTACGGTTAAAAGAGTTACCATGTTAACTGGTGACTGTCAGCCGAGAGAGTCTGGTTGTCGTACGTTACGTGTCCTAACGAAAGCCTATTTGTTTAGATTTCATTAAAACATATCTCATAAGTAATTTTGACATTATGATAATAAAAAACGGAACAAAGAGGCATTTGTTAGGACACTTTCAGTCGCGTTTGACTGAAAGTCATCAGTTAACATGGTCACTCTTTTCACCATAACACCAGAACGTCACTTCAGTGATATTGCTGATATTTAGAGGAGAATCCCTCTCCTTATACCACTGTAGGATCAAAAGTCTACAAACATACAGGCAGCTTTATGTATTATTGATCGGTCTGGGTCGATAATGCTGCTGTTTGAGAGGTGAAGGGCAAGAAATTCCTCATCATTCCTTTTTTCTCAGATTAAACTCTCTAGAAGCAAAACTCGGGCTTGTCTCCTCGTCGGGTAGTTTATCATATTAAAAACATCTGTATTTCATTTGAAAATTAAAAAAAATAAAACAGATAAAAACACGTAGGGGGCCACTGAGACCAGTAACTTCTCAGTAGCGTACAGTGGTAAAGAGCCTTTCTTGCCCTCCAAGTGGGCAAGAAAGCTATGAATAGGACATGGAGCGAGAAAGCCAGAGACACCCGAGCCCTTCCAGAGAGGGGGCGTGGTCAGACACAGCTCATTTACATTTAAAGCTACAGACACAGAAACAGCCTGTTCTGAGCAGGGCTGAAATAGAGGGGTTTATAGTCATGATCAAATACAGCATCAGAGTGGATTTAGAACAGGAAACTTCACACACATGTTTTGTGTGTTTTAGAATTGTTGAAGAGGAGGAGAATATGTGACCTTTAACATAAAAGTGCAAAATATCCTAAAGCTTTGTAACATTAATGCATCTTCAATAAGACTGTTAAAGGCCTTAAAGGTAACAGAGATAAACAGAAATAATACCTTGTATACTTAAGTCAGAGACCAAAAAGAAGAAATGTTTTCAGTGTTTCTACATTCATACTGAAAGAAAACAGCCAGTCTAAAAACAGTGATGGTACCTTCGAGGTCTCAAAGAAACCTTGTAGCAAAACATTTTGTCCAATTGGTGAGAACAACTGATCCGTCGAAGGCTTCAAATACACTTTGTGACTGTTCTTAAGCTCAAAGATTACCTCTGCAAGTGCATGAAGGGGAAAGGTTCTAATGAGCCGACATGAAACACAAAAAGAAGATCGTCTCAGACAGTTTAAGACTACTCCAGTGGCAGAAACAAAACGCTCCATCAGTAATAAATCAGTGCATTTGAACTAATCACTGCTGTGAGTTCCTTTGATCTGAAGCACTTAATGGAAAACGTTCATGTCAGTTTGAGTGACAGCAGCTCCTCCGAACACACCTCGGCGATGGGCTGCCTCCAGTAACAGAAGGAGCTGAACTCCGGGCAGCTGAAGGTGGCGTTCTGCTGGGAACTCCTTAAAGGAAACACATGCTCGACCAGCTTGCTCAGCCGCCCATATCTGCAAAATGAAAACCAGCACATCAGGGAACAATAAACGTTTGTCACACAAACAATGGCTCCAGTGAGGTTTTGGAGACTTACGATGTTTTATTGCCTTTGGCTTGCTCGAGGATTAACTCCCCTTTGGGATTGACTGTGAATATCCGACACACGGGCACACCCACTTGCTTGTAGGCAAACACGTCCTGAAACACAGAACAATAAAGATCATTCTCAGAAAAATGGCTTTTTAAAAATACAAGCTGTTAGAAAAAAAAACATAGCTCACATTTTCTCTGTTTCCAAACGCTGCATAGAAGGGATACATGTTTGGAAAGAAGAGATTCTTGATGTCGGTGAGGCATTCAATCTTGAACTTCTCGGGCTTCTTCTCGATGACCTCTCTGTCAAGATATTTACAACAACAAAAAAAGAGTAAATATTTAAACTTGTACCTCTTGTTGAGGCTGAAGTTTCCTATTTTAATGACTTTTGGAAACCTTTCCAAGACCCCTTTAAAAACCCTGAAGGGTCAATGAGTGCGTTTACATGGACTCCAGTATCCTTGTGAGCCTTGTCCCGGTTTTCATTATTATCAGGATATGGTGTTTACATGCACAAAGAGAAACCTGGTTATTCATATCACTGTATACATGATGAAGTCTAGTATCTTGTAACCAGTTTACTCAAGCCAAAAAAAACGAAAACAAATGTGTCATGTCGGGCTTTGTTACCGGTGGAAGGCAGAGAAGAGGCTGCTGGGGGAGAGCATGAGCGGTCCTTGAGGTAGGAGGGTCCCTCTGTCGTTCACCCAGTGCAGATACCCTCTCGTCATGTCTGCCATGCCGATCGCTCGGGCCGAACAGTACAGGAACTTGTAACCATTTCTGCGGCAGAGAAGATATTTGTTGATGTGTTCAAACCGCGGACAGAAAAGTCATGTTGTTAAACCGTCATCGAGTCCTTACTCGTGCACTGAGTGGTAAAGCTTAGCGATTCCTTGATGAGTCCAGTCCTTCCCGAGCTGAGGCAGAATCTGACCAAACACATCTGACCTGCAGGAAGACAATTAGCCAAATGATTTGAAGGACCAATATGTAGGATATCTAATGGATAAACTGATAAAGTGACCTTGCTATATGATCAGACATTAAGGAAACATGCTATGTTGAAGTGCTTCTCTGACAACAATGCAGCAGCCAGTATGTCCTCCTTCTAACTTTGGATTCTGCTACTGAATGCTCTGGATTTGTTTGGACCAGAGAACATAGGCAGTTTTGAGGCTCCCCCACGGTCAGGTGAAACCAACAGGTGTTGCAGCGATGGAAGCGGGCAAGAGAAGTGGTTCAGATAGAAGTGATTGTACCCGACCTAAAAAGCCTCTGCATGTTTCTAATAAGCTCCACGAGCAGAAACGTGCTCAAACTAGGATCAATATTGGAGATGCTTTTGAAAAATGGAGAGAGGTTAGAACACAGAAAGGTTTACAGACCCATGCAGAGCTGGATAAACACTGAAGCTACAGTGTCTGCAACATGGTGACCTGCGTGAGCATCGACTCTAGAGAGGAGGGGGCGGGGGGAGACAGCGCTCTACAATGTTTTGAATTTGGACTGCAGTACCCATTTTAAACACTAGGTGTCCGAGTTACATACTGCTCCTGTTTAAGCCTCTACTGGCTTCTGACAAACATGAGACCTGATTTTTATAAAGGGGTGCATATCTTCAGACTTTCACGTACTTGGTGATGGTGCCATCGATGTCAGAGATGATGACTTTATCGTCCCAGTTCCAGAGGTAGATGGTTCCCTGGCAGCGACAGGTCCCCTGGTACTGAGTGGTTATGCTGAAGGTGACATCGTTTGGCCCCTCCCTTAGCTTCAGACTGGCCTGCAGGAGCCATAGATTAGTGGAGTTTCACAGAGTTAAACAGTCCTGACAGGGATATTGTACTTTTTTGTCCTCAGGTTGCATCTACATGAATGAAATCAATCAAAATGATGCATCTTTTTAGCAGGTTGCTGAGGTTAACCAGAGGGAGGCATTAAAAGAGAGCTTGTCTTACTATCTGATCAGACGACAGGCGGAGAGATTTCTTGTAGGAGTGACAGGGTGCCGCAGCAGGGCTTTCACTTTGCACATGCTCAGTAGGTTTTGGAGCAGGTGCCACAACGTTCAGCTCTTTAGTCTCGTCATCACTGGACCACTCGGCTGCTTTCCGCCTGGAGGCGAGAGGACAGTCTGAGTTGTAGTCAAATCTCTGTGAATATTAGCCCACTGACAGGAATGAGCTGACAAAACTGCATATATGTGTTCCATAAAGAAATTAAGGGTCAACCTAAAAAGCCTGTAGAATCACTTACAGCCACCAGAGGGCAGCATATCTGTTTGTATTGACCTGTAACTCTGCTCTGCTCTACAGTGAACATGCAGCTTTTTATTGTTTTGTTTTTTTTACTTCTCATTCATGAATCAAAACGGGGGTCTTTCTTAATCATATCTAACAGAAAGCAGAAGTCTGAAACAAACAATATTTAAATTATTAGCTTATGAGTCATAAAGTATGAGCCCTGGTGGCTAACTAACATTCTAATCCAGCCTCAGTGGGACATGTTTACCCAACACTGCTTGTGTTGGTGCGTGACTGACGTGAGTGTTGTGAGGAAGCCAGAGCTTTGCTGCTGACTCACTCTGTTTCAGGGGCCCCATGAAGGGCAGGGCTGTCGGTGGTCAGAGACTCCTGGCTCCCTAACTTGGCCTCTGATGATGACTAAAGACAGGAAGAGACACAAACCATGATATAAATGTGCTATCAAAACTTAAAAGTCCTTACATAAGAATACAAAACAGGGTAGTAATGGTTCTTAAAGGTCACATATTCTCCTCCTTTTCAACCAGTTTAAATAAGTCTCAGAGCTCCCCGAAACATGTCTGTGAAGTTTCTTATTCTAAATCCACTCTGATCCTGTATTTGATCATGTCTATAAACCCCTCCATTTCAGCCCTGCTCAGAACAGGCTGTTTCTGTGTATGTAGCTTTAAATATGTAAATGAGCTGTGTCTGACCACGCCCCCTATCTGGAAGGGCTTGGGTGTCTCGGGCTTTCTCACTCCATGTCCTATTGTTTACGGTGAGAAGGCAGACTGAGAGGGCAGAACAAACACCTAGCTGTGGGAGTGTCACCCACCTGGGGGAGGGGTTACTGCCCTTTGTGATGTCATGAAGGGAAAATCTCCAAACTGCCTGTTTGAGCACATATTTTCTGAAAAGTGGAGCAGGCAAAAGATAGAGAGGGTGGACCTTTCTAATAACTGGGGTGTTTGTAGACAGACTAGAGACACATATTAGTGTTAGAGGAACATGGTGCAATGTATTTTGCATAATATGTGACCTTTAAAGCATTTGGAAAACCTGTTCCTCATTTGTCTAGAATCTAAAAATTTGAAATGCAAAGTGACTCTAACAGTGTGGGATTCCCTTTGACTGTGATGTCTACACAAACAAGGAAGTGTGACTCATAATATTACCTAAAGCCTGAGTCACACATTCAGTACCTGCTTCACGCTGCTCTTTCTCCAGAACCACCAGCGTCCAGACTTCTTGGGCATTTTCTCCTTCACCCAGGCCTCCTCTGTAGCCTGCGTTCACATAAATAATTCAACTGTAAACAGATATAATGTATGAGACCTCACTTTAAACTCTTTAGACAAAGAGGATACCTTTGGTAAGTTCTTCTGAAAAGCCTGCATGCTCAGAATCAGCGGTGCTGCCAGGGTCCAGTTGTAATACCTGAGAAAAGATTTGTTTTAGCTTTTACATTCACATCCTGCAGCAACACATTTAATGAATCATAGCTTCAACTGATGAGGGTAAATCTATTTTTGAACAACAGAATAGGACGTCTCACCTGTTTGCAATTCTAACTACCAAGTTGGGATTGTCGATTATTGCTGGATTCTCTGCAAATTCATTGTAGGTGATGATGTGCTCCATGAATTTTTCTGAGAGAAAAAAAAACAGGAAGTCCAGGTTACAAAATAATTCTAAAGTCCTTATTTCTCTGTTAGAAACCTCTTTCTAAATATGCGGTGTGGCGCTGTGACGTAGGTAAGTCAAACTCTGAAATACTTCCTGCGTATTAAAGTCTGAACATTCATTTTAAAAATCTGTTTTGTTTTTTGCATCATAACGAAGTCATTTTGTACAACATTTTGCACTCCAACTTTACTCGAAAAACAAGTATAGCGTAAAACTTTAAATAAAAGCCCATCCAATTAAAGGCCCGGGCTCTACTAGCCTGGTTTAGATGCACATTCTGAGAAATAAAGGCGGGTCTCAATTAGACGCCCCTATGCATTTCATGTTGCAAAAGTCAGCAAGACACAAGAATTAAAGATGAATTTCAATATCTGACGAATAAAAACAAATTGGAGCGCATTGTGCATTAGTGCTCCCAGAGTCTCCTGCATGATGATCTGTAAGTTAATAACATGGAAAAACATCGGTCTGCTTCTTTATTTGCCCACACAATCTACTCTCCATCCTTTTCTGTTTTAAGATCATTAAAAGCTACTGTCCACACTTAAACTTAAAGACTAACGTTAGAGGAAACACACATCACATAAATGTTGCTTATCGAGCTCTCTGGTTACCTTTAGAGATCTCCGAGTTCTCTCCAACACCTCCACACAGAGACAGGGTGACATCAGGTAGGTCACCTGCAGAGTCAGAGAGACACTCTGTGCCGCTGTCTGCTGCTGCGCTGCCCACAGACTGAGGGGACTGGGAACTAGATCGCCTCCCCGTCTCCACCCAGTGTTTAGGATCCTGCTCAGACTCACTGGACAAACGGACAGGGACACAGACGTTTAGGATTCTTTTATTTCATTTGGCATCAAAACGTCAAAATTCTTCTGTACAAACCAAATGTGGCTACAAAGCAAACTGCTATGAAGCTTAATAAGAAGTATTTATTATGGATTATCATCCTCTACTCTCTCCTCCCAACACTTCCTGTCTTTCTTCAGCTGTCCTCTCTATACTAAAGGCAAATTAGCACATTGTTTATGAATGTCAAAAAATTGAATTTCTCCTCGTTTGTACCTCTTTGGGAAGTAACGGGCGACAACGTCCGGTTCGAGTGCATTCAGGTCATCCAGGTAAATATCTTCAGGTCCCTGATGCTGGCTCCTCTTCCTCACACCTCAAAGAGAGAAAGACAAGACAGATACTTAGAAATCACATTTCTTCCCCACTTCCTTTTTTTTTAAACTCATGCATGTGCAGCTCAAGGCTCTGAATACAAACTCGGGGCCTAAAACTGTCACCACCACATCCTTCCTGTAAACATTTAAACCCGACTGTACAGTCGAATCACATGATGTGGAAGTTTACTGAAGACTTTCCCATGCTGTTTTAGACGAAACCTGTAGTCAATCGAAGTCTTTTAACTTTCATAAGGAAACATTATCGAGAATGAAAAGAGTAACACGCAATAAATGTAAAGAAAAGGCAAGTTTTGAATGTCAAAGAGAAGGTTTCAAAAGAGTTAAAAAAATAATAATTTAGTCCAAGATTCAGTTTTAGTCGATCCTTCCCTTCATGAGATTACATTTAAGCGTACAGTGACTCATGCTTACTCATGCTTCCTCATGCTTATGCTCGTTTTTTAGTACTCGAAATCAGTCCTGATCTAGAGACCACTTTTATAATGTCTCAGACTCTGGATTTAAAATGAAGACTGATCAAATGAAGACTGATCATGAAGACCACTATTAAGAACCAGTAACTTCAATTCATTCATCATTTTATTTTTATCTCCCGGTTACTGCAACAACCTTCCAGGTGTTACGGTCTAAGTGAGTCACACAATTTTTTGGTCCTGGTCTTGTCTTGGTCTAGCCCTGCCTTGGTCCTGGTCTTACTCGGCCTCGATCCCTAAAATGTCTTGGTCTTAGTCTCGGTCTCAGAGCACTCTGGTCTCGGGTATGTCTTGGTCTCTGTTAGTGTGGTCTTGACTACAACACTAGCTTCAAGTTTCAGTTTCAAAGTCTGTAAATAAACAAGAATCATAATTCAGATTCTTTCAGTTAAGAAACAATAACACCCTTTTTCAGGACAAATTATCGAGTTGTTTTACTTCTCCTCTTGATTGGGGAGTCATTCGGCTTCGTGGTTTTTGTACCAGGATAAATCTCAGTTGAGTCTCCAGCCGTGTTTGTTCCTCCGCTGGCAGCAGAGCCGCTGTCCCTGCGGCTGGGAGGAGAAGACTTCCACCTGGTCTTGTGTGCCTCCTTGTTGTTGAGGTCTGAGTCACTCAGACATGGTTCAGAGGTAAACGTGCTTGGGATTAAATCGGAAAGGCCCGTCTTGGTGATGCTTGTATTGTGTGATGGAGCTTCAGGGGGCTGTGGTTTGTAGCTGCACTCATCAGCTGTGATGGTCCGAGGCTCCGGCTTCACAATGCTGCAAACTGGATCTGTGGTTCTCCCTATTTCTCTGGACTCTTCCTCCATGGCGTCTGCGCTCAAGATAACCCTGAAATGTGTGCTCTCTGAGGGAGTGATTGTCAACGCTTTTGGCTCGCATTTGTCCTTTTTGTTAACCTGGATGAGAGAACAGCACAAAAACAACTTGAACACACCTGCATGTATTTCTAAAAAAAACCATTTAGATTTGACTTGTCTAGATTTGAGACTCACCCTGGTGGACTCTGGAAACTCTCCCCAGCTCCACTGCATGTGGGACTCTGCCCTGAGCAGGCTCTCTGCTGGCTTCACCATCAGCTCAGAGTCGCTCTTTGTTGATGAGGGATCAGACATCTCCCTGCTGTAAACAAACACAACGTTTCCACACAGTCAGCTGTATGGACCTTGTGGGAGAGGTTTGCTCGACTCAGCCTGTTTTGATGAAGCTGACAGGAATTGTTGTCTCTCTGTTTGTAAAACCAGTGTAAATATTTGCATACTTATTGCAGGGGGACCAGTCTCCGTCAGAGAAAGGGTAGCTGTCCCATTCCAGGGCTGTCAGGGGGGAGTGCTGCCTGTGGTCCACATTTTCCTTCATCATGGAGAGCGAAGACGGCCTGAAAGCAAAAGATATATAACAAACAAACAAACAACAGATAAGAATGCAGCTCTACACTAAGTGTTTTTACTTACCGTCCATTGTGCGCTTTGTGCTCCTCATCTGAGCTGAGCCCACACAGCTCGACCTCCCCTCCAACAGCTGCTGCTTGCTCCTCTTTGCGTGGCTCTGCCTTGTGCTTCCTCCTGCGTCTCTTCCTCTTCTTCACAGCTGTGTTGGAGCCGGTTTGGAGGTTTCCAGGGGCCGTGTCTTTGGGGCTGACAGACTGGCCGTTCTCTGCCGCTGATCCCCCACATCTGGGCTCTCTGCTCCAGAACAGAGCCTCGTCCGTGGGGATGGGCGAGGTCACCAGGTGAGCCGGGACAACCTCCTGTTCCAAGGTAAAAAAGACAAATAAATAAACGCAAGCAGTTGTACTTATTCACTGATAAATGCTGACATCAGCATTCTAACTTGCTTCCAATAACAATGCTAGTATGCTAATGTTGTGAAGGCTAATATCTGTAACACAAAGTACAGCAGAGAAAGATGGGAAAGGCATTCATTTCACATGTTAAAAAAAGAAAGAAAAACAGTGTTTCACTAATTGTATAAATCATCCGAGACCAAAGCTAGGAACATAAACCACATGGTAGTGCTGGGAAAAAGTCAGAGGATTACAAACGTCATTTGGGTATTTCATCTGGGGAGTCCGATTTTCTATATTTTACTGTCAAGACTGACATGTTTAAGTAATGCAGGTGGTTGTTGTGAACATGACCCATGTAGCTGAAATTCAATATAAGAATGTTTTATTTTGTATCTCATGTTCTCTGTTCATAACTCACATTGTGCTGCTCTGTTTCCTGGACGAAGAAGGCCTCCCCGTTGTCTCCGAGCTTCATGTGGAGCTCCACGGGTTCTCCATTGATTTCTATATCAATCTGCAAAATCAAACAGAACAAGTCTGCGATAAATACTCTGAACAATGCTTTACTGTGTTTTGTTCAACATCAGCGTTTGAGCTTGTGGGTAAACACAAAAGTGTGCCACAGATTTACCTGAAGAATTAGAGTTAAGCCACAGAAAAAGCAGGGAACAGCTTGTACGAGTGTGTTTGCTGTTTTCAGTGAGTTTCTATTATTTATCGAACAGACGAGGTTTTATTCTGAACTGAGCTGCTAAAGAAATAGGTCACCACATAGCATGTAAGGTGTACTTCTTTACTTTATCAGGGCAGTTAAGAGATCAACAAAGATCTACTCATAATGCGCTGCATGACATTTAATACGAGGTCAAGGTCAGGTTACACGCTGCATTATGTCGACTTCCTGTCTGCCTCACTGGTAAGCTTGTTGGTGAAGATGAGGCTTCTTTCTGAGATGCCTTTTGAATGGGATCGAATGTTTACAAGCTTTGAATAAGTGGCTAAATTGAGCTTTAGCTCGTGCATCCCACCTAAGTGGTCAGCTGACGACTACAGTACACACAGTGTTCAAAAATAGAAAGCGAGGGCTGACTGCACTTGTGAGGAGCAGAGTGGATTGGATGGTAATGTTCAGAGAGATACTTAGAAGGAAAGAAGAGAAGCAGAGGGCTGTAAGGAAGAGAGAAAATGTATGTGCAGCTTCATCACAACATAATGATAGAGCAGGACCAGTCTGCAAACTCACTTATCACACATGTTTCTTCATGTTTTTAAAGAAGTATGTGCTGTTCCATTTAGATATACATGTTCTGCAGATTGCAATAAGAGACTATTACTATTACAACAGCCTCAGATAAAAACTCACCATTTCAGAGATTGTGTTATTAGATGTTTAAAATCCATTTCCTCTGTGTACTGTGGGCACTTACCACTTTCTCCCTGGAGCGCAGCACCCCCAGTTTTCCAAAGCGGACGTGGAAAGGGGAGCACTGGAACGTCCCATCGGGCTGTCGTACCACGATCACGTCGATGCAGCCCGACAGGGTGGCCTGATTGATCCCCTTATACAGCTCCTTTACTGTAACCAGCACCTGGCCCGCCAGCTGCCCCACGTAGTTCATGGTGTCCACCTGTTGGAGAAAAACCCTCAATTAATAAGCATAAAAACTACTATGCTGCATCTATTTCCTGCTAAAACCCGGCTCAAAACATACCTGACTTGTTAACAGAAGAAATCTTCTCTTTGAGTCATACTAGGCCAGTGCCTTACATGTAATGCTCCTGTTGTTCAGAATAGTCTGCTGGTCCCTAAACACAGCGGCTCTGTCCTCATTTCCTCAAAAGAGTCCTGAGCTGATCGAGACTAAAACGGGCCCTCGACTGCAGCAACAAGGCTGCAGCAGACCAGCGCAAAGGAGACTGTTTGGGTATCTGACTAGAGAGTTAGAAGTGGTTCCACTTTAGGTCAACAAAGCCCGCTTCTTGGGCCATTTTTGAATCCGGCGTTTTACTGTTTTTACACGTTGATATGTCTGTAATGTTTTAGATAACCACACCTCAAAATGACCTGACTGTTGGTTGAGTCAGCAAACACACACACACACACATCTCCTTCTTCAGGTGCGGAGTCGTAAAAAAAAAAAAAACACTAGATATGATGCACAAAGACACGACACTACAGCTCCCAAAGATAAACTTCTTTATTTGCTTCATGCATTAAAGAACAAAACGTTTTGAGCCCGTTCAGACGCTTCATGAACCTGATGAAGAACCTGGTGTTGGGAGTCTTTGTGCATCATATCTCATGATTGATTGGTGACTCAGTGGTTTATCTATCATGGGTACAAGGTTAAGTTAACATTGGTCTGCTCTAGTGTCACGCTGACTCAAACTGACCTCTTGAGTTCCACTTTCACTCTGACCTGCTCTCTGATTCACTCTTACAAAGTCTGATAAGAGGTCAGAAAAATCGTTTATCCGTGTTTGAATCACACCACCACCACGCTTTATACTCCAATAAAGTGAGAATAAACGGTTTGTTTAGACATGCTGATCCTTCTCAGGTGTTTGAGACTTGTTTTCTGTGTCTCTGTGGTGCACATGTTACACACACTACACCTCCATCTTACACTGTTTCATGACGCTTTAACTCAAAGCAACTCAACATCAGACTATAGAGAGTTGTTTCCTGTTCTTGTGAGGAAAGTGTTCAACACAGTGTGACAGTTTTAACTTTCACTTTCACTACTCAGGTGAAGCAGCAGGAAACGTTACAGCGGTGTGTTCCTGGTTTCTTCTCATCATGCAGCAGGCTCAGAGCAGCGTCAGAGCCTGAGTGTCATTATGTGCTTACTTTATTTAAGAGTTAGGACAATGGCTCACTGACGAAATCAGACCTGCAAACCAGCTGGATGGACTTTGAAACCACTCAGACTCTAAGACGGGTTAGCCTCTTTCCCCCAAAAAACGCTCTTAACAGCTCGCAGAGGGAAATGTAGTCCAATACGAGGAAACTGAAACCAAATAGCTGTTATGAACACTACAAACAAACCAGGTACACCACACGACTAAAGGACCACATGGAGATGTTTCTCTTATCTAAACATATCGTTGTTTACATCCTATTCCTGATTAGTCGCTCATAATCATCCAACAAAAGAGTAACCTTATCTTACTGACTGGCAGATGAGCATCCATATGTTTATATGATTGATGTATAAATATTGGAATAAGGGCCGGGAATCTTTGGGTGTCTCACGATTCGATTCAGAATCAATTTCTGTGATTCAAAACAGTTCTGGATTCCTGGATTCAAAGTCTATTTTTGAATACTTCAGGAGCTACTCCAGTCATCTGTGATTCTGGCTGGATTTCTTGATGCTCCATTCGATTTTTGGAAGTTAGAAATCTATTTAAAATCTCAGAAGATAAGAATCTCGATTTTTACATTAATGTTTCCCACCTCTAATAGGTATAGAATAAAGAGTTTCATAAAGTCATAACATATCCATAATACATTAATTGTGCTATTTAATTCATTCATTATTATCGCCCAAACCACCAACAGAGATGTTGTCTACAGTTGTTCTGATTGGGTAGAAATTAATCTGGAATTAAAGATTGGGTTAAGATTACATCTGAAGTAGGATTAGGATGAAATCAGGGTCAGGTTTACCAGAGTACAGACAGAAATCAACACTTTCCAAATTAAAACTTACACACACGTAGGTCTGACATTTAGCCATGGGAAAGAAGAAAAGAGAAAATCACTCACTCTGTGTATTCAAATGGAAACCGGCTAACTCAGCACCCTCACTCACCAGAGTCCAAGGGGACTTCAGGTGCAGCCGCAGGTCGTGTTGTTTTACAGGTGACCTCCCCGAGAGCTCCATGTCACCCCGACAGGACTGAGCTGAACCTCCTGTTTGGCCCTGTCCCCCTTCATGCAACCTTCTCCTGCCATTAACCAGTGCCACAGCAACCTTCCTCACCCCTCTGATGATTTGAACACAAACTTTCCAAAGAAGAAGTGACCCGAGCCTGAGCCCTAAAACCCCTTATGTAACCTCTCTTAGCAGCAGCAGCCCCAAATACCACCGACCTGCACTTATAAAAGTCTCTGCAAGAAAACAGCACGAGGAAACATTTGATCTAACCTTCATTGATTTGAATAATAGATAAATCATTAAACCATGAAAAAAAAGCTGCATTTACCACATTAATGCACGACAGGACATCTTGACATGCTAATTTGTTTAAGTTAACAGTAGACTAACAGCACATCCCACAAAAGCTAAAATCTGCACAAAATCTGTTTATCAAACACCAAACTAAAGAAGGTGATGTTGACCACTTCACCACAATCATTACTTTCCTACGCAAATAAGCAACGGCTAGAAACTTTTATGCATGCATTTTTACAAATGAAGCAATGTTCTCGTCATGAGTCCCCGTTAAATAAACAAACAAAATAAAATAAACTACTCCTTACAAGAAGCCAACACGCCTGATAAGGTGTTTTTTTTGTTGCAAAGTTGTTTCTTTGCAACAGAAAACAGACACGTATGGCTTAGTGCGGTATTTAACCTTTACAGGATTTTTTTATAACAATAAAAAAAACGAGTTGGTCGGGGTTTCTTGCTTCAAAGATTCTGAGCGCCACCGTGCTATGACACACGCTGATAATAGTATCAGATTGTTTACACTCTGCCTCTATTATCAGCTCCTCCAAACCACAGCACAGTTTAGACAGAATGTGCAATACGCGTTAAAGGAACAAAGCAGAAGTGTCTGCACGAGAGTGTCATCAGCTTCGATAGCAACACTGCACAACCAGATCTACACACTGTCTGAACTACACACTGTCTGAACTACACACTGTCTGAACTACACACTGTCTGATCTACACACTGTCTGTACTACACACTGTCTGAACTACACACTGTCTGAACTACACACTGTCTGATCTACACACTGTCTGATCTACACACTGTCTGAACTACACACTGTCTGTACTACACACTGTCTGAACTACACACTGTCTGTACTACACACTGTCTGATCTACACACTGTCTGATCTACACACTGTCTGATCTACACACTGTCTGAACTACACACTGTCTGTACTACACACTGTCTGTACTACACACTGTCTGATCTACACACTGTCTGATCTACACACTGTCTGAACTACACACTGTCTGAACTACACAGCGCACCAAATTTAGTATTACGATCATCTGCTTTTGTTTTTGTGCAGGCTTGAAATGTAGAACAGATCTTTCCAACATGGATAGCGGTGTTGTTAACATGAAGGACCATTACATACTCTGTGTGGGACTTGTATTGAAAGTCCGCTCATTTATCTGGATCTATCGTCCATATCAGTCCTGTCCTATCATCCCTTCACCGGCTCCCAGTACGCTCCAGAATGTAGTTAAGGTTGCACTGTTTGGCCTCCTTAGCCCGTTCATCTAGGCCCACTTAGATCGTCCCACATGGGCCTCCTGGCGGTCCCTCGCTCACGGCTCAAACTCAAAGGGGATCGTGCCTTTTCAGTCAAAGCCCCAAAACAGCCTTCCCCATCACGTCTGACCCCATACCCACCCCAAAATGTATTTTTACATGTTAGAGTCCTCTGGTCCTGATTGGACAGTCTCTATCTGGTTTTCTTTTTTTTTTACTTTCTATGTTCTTTCTTTAATGCATTAGGCTGCAGGTTGGTCCCCTGCTGCTTTATAAATAAATGTGATGTGACATGATTATTACCTTTATCATCAGACCAACTGTTCCAATTTTAAACATACATGATCAAGAGGTTTAAGCATGAGAACCAGATTCATCTGAGACCTCTTGTTTTTTGTCCTGGCCCGTCTTTCCTTCAAGAAGATTTCCAGAAAACAGTGTCCCCCTGTTTTTCACCATATGTATAAACATTTCAGTTTGCCTCCTAAATAATATAATGCCGGTGGTATTTGGTACCAACTAAAAGCCATGATAATTCGATTTGGGAAATTAGGTACCTAGCCAAGAACCACCATGTTTACATGTCTCATTCTGATTTGTAGGTTTTTTTGCAACTGGGTCAAGAGGTCAAGAGGTTCTGCAACTGTTGATGATACCAACTAAATGTAAATAATGAGCTGAGACGTTCCTAACCAGTTCAAATTTGCAAATTCCACGGATGGATCTCATGATGGATTTTTGAGTAGTATGTCAACAAAATAGAAAGATGTCTACATATTCAAATGGCTTGCCTATAAAACACTAGGCTCTGAAACCAGTTTTCTATCAGTTATCGTCTCATTATCAGCTAATGTGTTGTTATTTTAATGCAAAAATGACTGGCTAATATTCATCTAATTCTAAACTGCCTCAGCTAGCCTATAGTGTGAAGGCAACAAAGCAATCTCCAGCTGACAAAGACCAGGGAGGAAGTGGATCTAGATTTAAGACCGTTGCCGAACTACTGTTTCCAACGTCAACAAACAACAAAGCTTCACTTTCATTCACAGGAACCAAACTGTCACGACATGATAGTTTAAACCTCTAACCTTCCCATTAGGTCAATAACATATAGCGGTATCTGTGGATGAAGACAAGTGTGAAGATTAAGGTATAGAAGTCCTTTTTGTTTTTCTTAGTTGACCTATTTGGTGCTGCATAACAAAATCGCCCCAGTGCATCAAAACAAATCCAGCGTAACCATCGAGGACACTCTGAGTGGACCTTAAGAAGGTGTTAATCCTGCTAACAGGATTAGTACAAATCTAGCTTTCACTGCCCCTGCACGTTTGTACCGCTCACACCACAGCGTCCAACGTGAGTCTAAATAAGGGTACGTTGTTTTAACTACAGTTGTTGTGACACTGAGTCTGCAGGTTCGTGTTATCAGGAACCATTTCCTGAGTAATCAAACACAGCAACAGCGTCAAGGACTCAGCTGACTCCATATTGATAGAGGGCTTTATCACACATTTGTTACAGTCTTTTATTTAAGACTGATCATGAAAAATCGGGCAAGTGCTAGAACCAGACAATGAGAAGCACAGCAAGCTACTTTATGATTGATGTATTGATGTATTTGTCAACTCAAGTTTGAAATGTTTTGGTGCCTGAACCTTTGTATTACTGGATGATATGGTCTCTGGGAAAAATGTCAACATTCACTTGTTATTCAACCACACATAGCACCATGCACTCCGGTGTTACAATGCCTTCAATAACAGTAAATATCACAGCTGGTTTCACAAAATTTGAGAGACAGCTGGTCTGCACTGATAGACCCAGAGGTGCTGCTTGTCAACAGGCAAGGCAGGCAACTGCTAGGCCAGTAGGGGGGCCCAAGGGGCTGATAATCTTTAAACCACAGCAGGGGCTCAAAATGTGCACATTTTGCAGTGACAGTAGGAAACCTCCCTATAAGCAGAACCCATCTGACAGCTCTCACTCATATAATAATTGACTGAATGCTTCTTGTCTAGCCCTAAATATGGGGGAGAGACGTCCGCTAAATTATTTTGTTGCTGCAGAATTATAGCTATAGCTGTAGCTAAATTATTTTGTTGCTGTAGAATTATAGCTATAGCTGTAGCTAAATTATTTTGTTGCTGTAGAATTATAGCTATAGCTGTAGCTAAATTATTTTGTTGCTTATTTGTAACGTAATGGGGATGAACACTTTTTGGAGGGGCCCCTGTGAATCTCTGCCTCGGGCCCAAACAGACTCCAGAATCGCCACTGGATAGACCTCATAATGACCTCATGTAGGCTGCTGTGAAACAAAGTCAGATGATAAGCACTTTGTATACCTGTGTTTTTAAAAGGTGCTATATAAATAAAGTTATTATTATTATTATTATTGAAGTGAAATCTGCACGCGAGTCTCTGACGTCTTCAGGTAGGCTCAATGTAGGTTATATCATTTCGCCATAAAAACCGGGTAAACGGCAAACGCCTCGTTTAGTGACTCGGTTTTATGGCTTTTATTGACAGTACCAACATGAACGCAGGATACTGAAGTCAAAATCATTATTTATGTTATAACGCTTCAGCATAGGACTCACAACCCGCTACAATCCACCCCTCAGATGATTTTAAGGACACCGCTGCCGGCTTTTTTTATTTTTTTTTACAACACATAGAAGCAACAATGAACTGCTTTCATATTTATTTTGTCTTATCTGATGATTCAAATCTCATAAATGAAGATACAGAGGAGAAGAGCGATTAAAATCCTCCTACCTGATGGAGTAGAAAGACTCGCCCGCAGGCAGTCGCACCTTCATTCACTTCCTCTGCCGGTACTTTAGTTGAGTCCTCTCTCTCTCTCTCTCTCTCTCTCTCTCTCTCTCTCTCTGCTGTGACTGAGCTGAAGCCGGCTAGAGCACGTGACCCGGCAGCGCCGAGTTGGCACGTGATTACAGCTCAGGAGGACGTTTGATGAGGTAGTTCATTTATTACAGGTAATGATGGGTTTTTACGGAGCAGATTAGTTTCTCAGGCACCATGTAGGTCTGATCTGATGTAGAGCATCTACTAAATGTGAACGCCCCATTAAAAGGTACAGCATTAGGTCGGCTGTGTCCTCTGTTTTTAGCTGGAATAGGCATTTATTCCCTTTCTGCATATGAAACGTTTTTTTTTGAGCAAGTTATTGCACTTGTTTTGTTCTTGAGAAAAACATTCTTGAGTCACAGGGAATGTAAACGCTATGTCCTCTTGTTGGTTGTTGATGGATGAGGCAGGGGCGTGTCCAGACTTTATGGACTCTGGTGGCCTAACCGGGGCATTGACTTAAGGGGTGGCCTGAAATATCCCTTCTAACCTCACAAATCATTTCTACTTTATGTCACAGGATAATGGCAACGCTAGCTGAATAATTTAATGACACAGAAAGAAGATTTATGTTTCAAAGTCACCATATAAAATACTAAAAACAAGTGCATTCAAACTCCTGCAGACTTGTAACTTTGCAGATTGAGATTTTAAAACAGCAAAAACAACAAGAGAATCAGCAAATAAAGCCTTATAAAGCCTGTGCTGGATGCAGAACATTTACCGTTTTGTTTTCAAAACTGAAATGAAGTGCAGGAAATAAATGGAGATTAATTTTCCATGCTCTGCATTTTGAGGTCAGAGATCTTAATTCGGTTTTGGGATGTTTGAAGGATCTGCTCCAGGACAGTTTTGCAGGGCGGATATTTGGCAATAAATGGTCCTGGATCCTCAGCCAAAAACAAAGCAGTGCTCTTCTGTCTCATGAATAAATGTATGCAGAAACATGCAGCATGTACCATCCACTAGTAGAGGAAGTCGAAAGTTCAGTTCTGATTTAAACATAAGCTATATAAGGCTATAATGAATTTGTATGCTAGGATTTCCTAGAGAGTCTGCTGCTGTCAGTTCATACCATTATTATTATTATTTTTTACAGTTTTTCCTTCTTTGTTTTTTCCAGTAGAGTTAGGTTTTTGTGATCTCTGTTGGTGAACTGGCTTTAGCTTATTGTGAAGTCCCTAATAAGTGTCAGTGAAAAGCATATTAAGTGTTATATAACGTTCAGTCGGTCACTTAACCCCGAATTGCTCCCGTTGCTTCATCTGCAGCGTATGAATGTGATGTGAATGGGATTAGTCACTTCTGGTGGATACTTCACACGGCAGCCTCTACCATCAGTGTGTGAATGTGTAGGTGTGACCTGCAGTGTAAAAGTGCTTTGAGTAGTCAGAAGCTCAATTCCAAGTCCATTTATTTGCTGTTGTGTATGTCCCATATTTACTCAAAGGCAGTAATAATGAAAAATAGCAAAGTAAGAAGAATGCAGGAAAACCACATTAAATAATTGTTCTGTGAAGTGTTGTGTACATGACAATAAAACGATGTCCCATCAGATACATATTGGACAAAAAAGGGGCATATCGTTAACATGAAGGAGTACAATGCACGCTAAGGTAATGTAACTGGAAACACAGCAATCAGACATAAAACTCCACACCAAGCTTGTCAAAGATATGTGTGTACATAAAACTTTTCAACAATAGTTTCAGTGTTTTCAGGCTGTTTCAGCTCCGGGTTCAGGCTCCTCCACCGTGGCTTCAGGCTGCTCAGGGGCATCTGATTGGTCAGCTGCCAAACGCTGGTCAGCGACTTCTTCTGCGTCTCCTGTTTGCTCTGAATCTGTAGCTTTGGCTTCTTCTGAAGCGACCACTGCAACCTCCTCGTCTTTCTGCACGTCAGGCTCCCCGCTGGCTGTGACGTCTTCCATTGGAAGGATTTTTGTCACAGATTCTGCGAGACAATAAATAAATGAACGACATGTGACTGCAATGTTCAAGAAAGCAAAAAAAAAATGAATGTGTCTATGAATTTTGTTTGCACCCGCTTACCCTTTCGTTTCTGCATTTTGGTTCCAGTGCCCGGGGTTTTCATCTTTTCCTTCGGGGTATTCTGGCCGAACACCACATTCCCTTCTGCATCAGTCATATAAGAAGTCACCCCCAAGTCAGGTGTTCCCTCGATGATCTCCAGCTAAGAGGACAAACACCAGAATTAGATGTCACCATGTAAGAAAACCCTTTCCTAGTGACTACCACACCATCCAATGAATGATGTTCACTACTTACCGAGAAGGTGCAGTGAGGTCAGAAACACCAATGATTGCCAAAATCCAGAAACACTTTTATTATAAATCCAGTCTGTCCTCATCAGTGTTCATCTACTGTATTATACTGTATATATTTTAACCTATTTTTTCAGTGCCTCAGATATTTTTGTGTGGATATTTTTGATTTACTTCTATTCAAGGAAATTAGAAATGTTCATCCAAAAATATCCAGGATTCATTTCAGAAATAGGTTTGTCTGAAATTTTCTGCAACTCTCGGGAGTTTTGTGAGGCAGTTTTCAGAAACTTTCTTGCAAATATTTTCAGGAATTTTAATTATGAACTTTGGGAAACTTTGGTCATTTTCATCAGGAATTTTCCGAACATTTGGAACATCGCAATGGGAATTTTCACAGGAATTAGGATGCAATTTTCTGAAAGTCTTTTTTTGGGAATATTTGGAAAATTTCACGGGAATTTTAACTAAAAAAAATCAGAAATTTCACCAGAAATTTTCATCAACAATTTTCTGAACATTTGGAACATTGCACTGGGAATTGTCATGAACATTCGGGTATTCTCATAGACAATGTTCATGAACCTATGGGCATTTTCAGAAACATTTGGGGATCAACATGTGAAACTTTCTCTGGGGCGTGTCTGAAAAATCTATGGAGTTTTCAGAAACTGTCAGGAATCTTCAACATGAATTTCTGGAAACTTTCATGAATTCTAACTGCAAGGAAACATGTGGAGCTAAATCAGAAATTGGAGTGGGATTTGTTGTGGAAAAAGACCGTAATTTTTTATGACAGAAAAACATGATGGTTGACGCTTGTGACTAGACAACAGGGGGAAACACTGGTTAGTTTTCTAACATTTACATTCAGGGGAAGCTGAAGTCTTTGCTCTGTGTTTGTGCTCTTAAAGGGAGAGTGTTTGGTGACAGTACAGAGAGGGGTTGTGTCCATGCTGGTGGTTCATCCAATACCACACGACTGGTAGTGAACAAGGTGACTGAAACCAGAGAGTGAACAGTGAAGAGTGGAAGGTTCAAACCAAAGTGAGACAACTCAAAGAGGAAGAGGCGGAGGAGGAAGTGGGGAGGTACATGCTTTTTTTTTTATTAGTCTCATCAACAAAACAGGGGACCAGGAAGTGATGCAATAACAAAAACTGTGTTCTGTAGCAGTTCTTCATGACAGTGACATAGTCAACAACAAATTCACAGATTGGACAGGCATCACAATAATTAATAAAGGACTTTAGAGAGGGTGTATAACAATCACAGTAAAGACAGAGGGGACAACAGTGTTCAGTACAGACAGGGAGGCAAGGGAAGTGACGTCACCATCACAACAATCAAAGGAAGATCTGAACTATTTCCTCTCATGCCATCAGGGTTTTGTTGTCGGCTCTTTTCCTGCTCTTCCTCGGATTAGGTGAATGGATATCTTCAGGCTTCTTTTGCCAACCTGTCTTCATCTTTAAAGCCTTTTCTTTCCATTAAAGGTGAAAACATACAGACTGACATTTTATAATGACTTTTATCCTTTCTCATGAGAAAATCTCATTGTATTGCAGGATAATAATCACTGCTAATTAAACCAAGAAACTAGCAATAACAAAAACTACAATAACCTTTTACATGTGTTTCGATGTGTTATCATTGGATTTAAGTGAGTACCTACATATTTTGGATAGTTTGACTCTCAACCACACTCTTGTTTTTTCTTCCTGCACCGTGGGACGTCTCGTTTCAGACTCAGCACCTCAAGAGTTAATTTAATATTCTAAACAAAACATCCAACACATTCCTCAAGCCGTTTTTTTTTTTCCCTTGCGTTTTTCATTTATACATATTTACGACAAGATTTGGACCTCGGCTTTTTTTTTACTTTTTCTTGCCGCCTGCCTCCTCGGAGATGAAGACACTTACGGTGAAGTCCCCGCTCTCTGTGCCGTACTTGTTCTTCACCAGGATGCTGTACTTGCCAGAGTCTGACGTGTTCACGGCAGTGATGGTGAAACTTGCAAACTTGCCGGACGCAAACTTAAGGATGATGTGATCATCGGACGTGATCTCTCTGTCGTTCTTCAGCCAGGTGACCTCTGGCATGGGGTCGCCAGAAATGTTACAGGTGAGATTGAGGGCCTGCAAGGGGGAAAAATGCAAACCAATAAAATAAGAATGCATAGAAAATCCTAATCTAGAGCAGATTGAGGTTTAGTAACTACTGTATCTGTCATTATGCTGACTTTAGTGCATGCCGTGTAACATTAGAATCAGCTGACACCGTTTACCTTGCCATCCTGAATAGTAACCACATCAGGCAGGCCTCCTGCTACTCGAGCACGACCTGAAACAAACGATATGAATTATCATAAAACGAGCGAAAATAGTGTGAAGGCACCAAACAGAAAAAAAGCATCAAAGGATATGATGGACGATTTGGGGGGGGACTCGACCTGAGACGAGAAAGTAAAGACTAAAAAGTGAAGATGAAACTTGGAACAATAAATAAATGTCAATATTTATAAATATGCTGGATCATTTCTTGCTGGAAACTTAATCAGTGTTGATACATTTTACAATGTTTCTCTAACACTAATATGTGTCTCTAGTCTGTCTACAAACCCCCAATGATGAGAGTCCATCCTCTCCGTCTTTTGCCTCAAACAGGCCGTTTTAAACTCCATTATAAAAAAGTATAATAAAAGATATAGTATATAATGTCATC